TTCAGACACAGGTACCATTATTAATGTGTTGTGATGGGTGTGTTTGTGAATGGTTATATATTGTTTTATTGTTTGAAAAAAATATGAATTAATGAAAATAATACTGTATATATATACTTGTTTGAAATTATTGCCAAGTGGGTCAAAAGTTTATTTTTGTTTATCTGATGAGATATTATTGTTCGGATATATTCCTGTTTGGATATTTGAATGATGCATGACTTGTTAGGGGTTATTTTAATGTATGGTGTTAATGGGGAATTTCTGTTCGGTTAATTATTACCACGTGGTAAGCCCTCATTGGACCCAATGAGTGGCGTGTCGCTTGGTCCAACTCACCTTTGGCTGGGTGATTTTGGCGTCCGAGCATGGCGAAAGGAGGATATAAGGTGCAGTCATGCAAATTAAATACTTGTTCGGTTTGTTATGAAAGTATTGTTCGGTTAAATGTTTTTGTGCCCACTTAGCAATCGCATGATTAGTTACATCCGCATGTATCATTACATATTAATTTTTGTTTACTGGGACTTTTTAGTCTCATTCCCCGTGGTTAATATTTTTACAGCAGCGAGTCCGGCCGAGAAAGCACTAGAGGTGTAACTATGGTGTATGAGACACCATTCTTTTACGTTGCCTCTTATTTTGAATTATACAATGTATCGTGTGCCAACTTAGGACATATCTTCTTTGTGGAGCATGTAAACTCTAATCCTCTAATAAATGCATTTATATGTTCAAGAGGATTATGTCTGCCCATTTTAATTTATGACCTGATTTGAATAACATGCTATGAGGATCATGTCTGTCCCTCATGGTTCTAATTGCTTTTTGAGATATTTTAAGACCTGTGGTATATTGTCTTGGATGTATCATGGTAAGAAAATTTTCTATCATGATATGGTTTTAATAATTTGCGAAAAATCGGTTTGTATTTTTGAGGGTGTTACAAAATCAGACTAATTAATATTTTTTTCAATTTTATTCCTTGTTATTTATTGTCATTGAATCATATGTAACAATCTATTATATTCATTGATTACAAAGAAGGGTAAAATTGGTGAGTTAATTTTTTTTTACAATTTCAACATCATTGCTAACATTTTTTATTAAGTGTGGAATTTGATAATTTCATCTTATATCATGGACTTGTGGGAGTATTTTAATTTGTGAGTATACAACATGGAGTGCATTTGCCTTGGTAATTAGCTGGGTGGCTGGACAGTTGACCCTGCTTTGAGAAAAAATACAGTGTAAGAGGCAATGCACAAAATATTCATTAATTCTCTTAATTAATCAACACCAATAGATACTAAATATTTTTCTCAATTGGGGTTCAAAGGCTTAAATGCTAAACAAAGTAGACCAATATTAAACGCCTTGATCTGTTTGGACTTTGGAGAGGGAAGGGAAAAAGAAGAGGAAGACGACCCATTATTGATGACTCTCACTTTCAAGAACGAATAAAAGCTAGTGGAGTTCCAATTCAACCCCATTAATTGGATGGCCAAACGATATGAAAATATTTCCTGTCTAGTTTATACGATGGAAAAAAATATATTTATTTTGTTCCTGTTATGAGATATCTTTATATGACTTTTGCAATTATTTTATTTTTAAAATATACAGATTTAATAAAAGATAAAGTTAAAAACTTATTAAATTTTTAAAAACAAAATTAATAAAATTTAAATTTTTATTTAGTTTTTGGTGAAACATACTAGAATGACTTATAAACACGTCTTGAAGGAATTTTACTAAATATCTATAACTTAACATACCATCTATTTTGAAACTGTAAATTATCAGTAACCTATTCAACAATTTTTTATTGTACACCGGTGTGGTTTTTGTTACAGATAATTCTGGTGGAGCTTGGTTTCTTCCTCTTGGACCCGCTTCAGCCTTCAGTGGTAACCTATTTAACATTTTATTTTTAAAATAGACTTTTTTATCAATAAAAGGGTTAAAATCTAATTTTGCTCCTATATTTATTTTCTAGGAGTGTTGGTATCCCATACTATTAAGTGGAGCAATTTTATCTTTAATTATTTTTTTTAGAAACAAAAAATTCTTTCTATTAGTCAACCGTTAATTTTTTTTTATTTTTTGCTAATGTAACATGTGCATAGGGCCCATGTACAGTAATTTGTAAGGTTAATTTGCCTCTGAACTCCTTTTTTACTAGAGTTTAGCACTTTAAGTATTTTTCTAAGAGAGCTGAACATCTTGGAGTCATGTTAAAATAAAATTTAATAAATATTTTTTAAATATTAAGCATTTTAATATTTAGTAATTGAAATATTATTGTTAAAAACATTGCACCGTCCAATTAATATTTTTGATATTTTGTAATTTTGTATTAAAAATGAAGGGAATGATCTCCAATTACGAAGAAATTTTTTTTCTTCTCATCTCTCCATTTTTCTCTTATAATAGCACATTAATATAATAAGCAATATCTTTCAAATAAATACTTTTGTTGGCATATTCTTGATTTTGATTTGTCATGTTTGTGATTTTACTCCTAACACTACAATATACGAAGAGTATTAAATTTGGGCAATATAATATTTTAGAGGAAGATCGTTAGTTGATTGAAAAAAATTATAGAAGGGATCTAAAAATTTAAGAAACTTAACCAATATTAAAAATATAAGTATATTTTGATATGTACAAAGGCGTAACGATTTGGGCACTGTCGCAAAGAGAAGATTGAATATCAATATATAGAAAATAAAAAATTATCTATAAATTTATAAATTGTTAGTTTGAGTTGCAAATATTGAAAAAGTAATTTATAAATTTGAATGATATATTATAAATAATAATATTTAAATTATTAAATATAAAATATATAGTATTTGGGCAATATTTGTTAAATTTTATTTTAATAAGACTTTAAGGTATCCAATCTTTTTAGAAAAATATTTTAAGGTGTCCAGTGCTTTAAAAAAATAATTTATGAATAAATTAATATCAAAGGACAATAGCAAATCTTACCTATCAATATATGTGAGCTTTATATGCATATCACATCAACAAAAATCAAGTCAACTACCTCCTAATAAAAAGTTATTTTTGACATCAAAAAAATACATCAAGATGAAAATTATCCTACTTAAAGAATATAAAATCAATCACTCATAAAAAAATAAATATATGAATAAAATTTGAACTTTAATTCAAATAATATGTGTTTTTGCTTTTTTTTTTTCCCCTATCTCTTCCCTTCCCTTCTTTCTTTCTTTCTTTCTTTCTTTGTTTTTTTTTTTTTTTTTACCTTCTTTTTTGGGAGGGGACAACGGTAAGTACAAAACTTGAAAGCAAAAACCAAAACGGCAGAGCACCGTGAACTCTTCTTTTTGTCCTTACACACTCGTCCCTTTTGTTTTATTGACCAGCTGCACACTCGTCCTTGTAATCCTTGTATTTTTGGAACATGACAATCGTCCTATGTATTGCTTTTTTGATTTCTGGTTTGCTGACTCAACATAGGTCACTTGCTAAATCAAGCATGCCTTTCTCTTACGATGCATGAAAACACATACCATAAATTTATTTTCCCTTACTGTTTCTCCAATGACAAAACATGAACGAAAGCCACTCTTTAATTATTATTTTTCTCTGTTTAGAATTGAGAGCTTGGACCAGTCAGAGTCTGTCAATTTGGATCTTATCACTGTCACAATGTCATTTTAGTTCCTTTCTTCCATTTGGTTTATCTATTTCACTTTTCCGAAGCAGAAGAAGGGTGACTAAATATGGAGTGGGGGGTGATGAGAGCCAAGCAAGCCCTTCACCAAACCTTCCATACAGTGTTCGGAGAATCAGAGCCCACTGACAGTTCTCCAAAGAAGAAAAGCTACTATCTCTCAACGACGTCGCTTCATCATCTCATTCGGTTCTTCTTCCTGGCAATACCATTACAGACAAAAGCATCCCACACCTTCGGAAAACGAACCCCTTTTGTTTCTCTTCAAAACCAACGCAGCTCAGCTCCTCTTTCAAGTTGGGATGTTTAAATAATTCTGGAGTTGTAGAGTTTCAGAGTTCTTACTTCTATATAATTTCTTTAGATTCTAAGATTCTCAGAGAAATTTGTCCCTTCTCTTTCGGTAGTACAACTATCCCATAAAAAACTCAGAAAAGAAGCCAGCAACAAAAGAAAAAGCGAAAAAGCAAAACCACACCCGCACTCTCTCTCTCTCTTTCAGCTTCTTTTCTGAACGAAAGTTCCGATTAACACCTGCTCACTAACATTGTTGTTTCCAAGAAGCCAAGCCTTCAAAAAACACATATTGTCTTCTCATTTCTCATGTGCTTGAAATTTCATTGCAAAATACTACCCTGAGTTTCTCTGAGCTTCTTCTTCTTTGTTGGTAGTCAGGGAGGGTGGTTGGTTAAGTCTGACCATGGCAGAATCTTCAGAGGTGCGGTTAGTACGGTGCCCAAGTGTGAAAATCTACTTCCAGAGCTCTCTGATTACTCTGTTTATCAATGTGGAGGCTGTGGCGCGGTTCTTCGAGGTACCCTTTTCTGACACTGAAGCTAGGAGATTATCTTTTCTTGGCTACACATTTGGGTGCCCTGATCTGGGTTTGCTCTCCAAGGTTCTTGCCTCTGAATATCGTATTTTGTGTTTTGTGTCTTCGGAAATTTTGCAAGTATGGGTTCTAGTAGGATCAGACTGTTTTATACGCACAAATTAGGAAAAAAATAACCTACTGTCTATCTCTAGAGTTCTTGATTAGGAAGCAAATTCCTACATATATACTCTATATGTATGTGTGTATGTACGGCGGCATCCATTTTGACCTCCTTTTTGTTTGTTTATGGCTTGTGAATGATAAATAGAAGGCGACTCACTTGCTGTCAAGCATAGTTATCATAATGTGGATTGAACTATTGAAATTGGAATCTTTTCTACACAATGGAAAGAACATGAATGGCCTGATTACCGTTTCTTATTTTAGTTTCCATGCTTTCATTTGCAGCAAAATATGAGGCTATGGAAGCGGAAACTTGTTGGGGAAGTCAAGTGAGGAGAACAATGGAGAAGATTATGCTACATCTGATAATATTTTAGACAAAGAAGCAGTTGATTCGAGTGATCCTTGTGACATCAAGGTTGGATCAAATAGTGGCTCCTCAAGGTATAACACTATAAGGAATTTTGAGAAGGATCATAATGGACATGACATTTCATTGGATCCCTCCATTGATACCGATAGAAAGAAAGGTGTTTTGCAAATGGTCTTCATGTCAGCAGAAGCAAAGATAAAGTGGTTAAATTAGTAGGAAATGATCAAGAGCGGCCAATCTCTCAAATCTGTAACGGTGAAGGGTCCAAATTCTCCATGAGAATGTCTGATTGGCAAAATGGGGAGACAGCTGAGATTTGGAGAAAGTCACATGCTGATATTGAAGGTGTGAGGTTTTCTACTTCAAACTATCCAGATGAAGGGAATTCAGGTAGCTATTCTGATGTTTTCATATAATCATGGGGAACCGTGGAGGAATCAAAGAGAGTTGGATAGTGGAAACAGGGCTCAGAACCTTGAGCAAGATCGAGCCGAGCTTCTAAGGAAACTGGATGAATTAAAGGATCAGCTCAGTCAGCCTCCTGACATGGCAAACAACCTGAAAGAAAACGTTCTTGTTGATGAGAGGATGGTTCCTCCAGATCCATATGGTGGCTCCTCTAATGCTTGGCTGCCACCAAGATTGTCCGGGTTGAATGGAACTTCAAGGCAAATTTTTCGCCCTGATAATCATTCAGTTGGTCCCTCTAATTTCAACTATCATCATGAACCATTTACTTATTATGCAAATGGTCATCGAATGGATATGCCTAACTTTCATCCTTCGATGCATAATTCAAATTCCATTCCTGGATATGGGGATCCCTTTGCATCCCAAATTCGAAGGAGAAGTCCATATCAGTTATCTCATCAGATTTCACAACAACCATTCCATCCCTACTATCCCAGACATTTTGTTGATGCTAATCCTGATTTATATGAACCTTATGCACGAAATATGATGCTTCACCCTCCTTCTTGCTCCTGTTTCAATTGCTATGAGAACAGACGACGAGTTCCAGCACCAGTACCACCTATGACACACATCAGTAGCAGATTCCCTGATACTGCTGTCCCAAATGATCATATTTCACATCGTTATGAGGTCCCAAGGGCATATGGTCTGCATGCTCATAATTTTACAAGCACTACTCACCCCATTAATTTTCGTGAAAGACAACCACATTCAAGATGGTATGGTGAATTCAACTCTGAGATGGCTGAATTTTTCCAAGGTCGTTTTCAGAAAGTGATGTTAGCCAGCGGTAGTCATCACTGCCGACCTATAGCTGGTGGGTCCCCCTTCATCACATGTTTTAATTGCTTTGAGCTATTGCAACTGCCTAAAAAGCATTGGTTATGATGAAAGGTTGTCAGCAGAATGTGCGGTGTGGAGCATGTTCCTCAGAAATTAACCTTTCTGTGATCAACAAGAATCTAATTATTTCTCCTCATTCAGAAATCAAGGGAACTTCTAGAAGTGTTGATGATAGCTCTAATGACTTTGTAAATAGCTGTAAATCACGTTCCCGTAGTCATGTTAAGAGTAATGGTGCTAACTTCTCATCTGATGATTATTCTGGCTATGATTTTCACTCAGTAGATAAGGAACCTGTTTTGCTGGCGGCTGACCCGAGCTTGAACTCTGGCAAGTCTCAGGAGACCCCAAGTTTTCATTCTTCATCTGTCAATACCTCTGAAGGAAAAAATAGTCCTGAAGTTATGATTGATCCATGTGAGGCGATTCAATCCACTCAGCAACCACCTATAGACTCTCTGTCTTCACCGCCTGCTGGTTCACCTCTTAAAGATTATTTTGATTACTCTAATAATAACCATGCAGTAACTCGATTTGAGAAAGGCAATCAAAGTAGTCGCTTAGTGCAAGAGAAGGCCATAGTCGACAAGTTTAAAACACGACAAAATTCTTTAAAAGATGTAGTGCTTGCAACCGAGATGGATGTCCATGATTATTGTAACACTGGAGTCTCTGAGGAATCTGGTGATGCTAGCCGAGAAAATGATCAACCTAAATCTAGCAAAGGAGGTGACTCATTCATTGCAAACATTATCAAGAAAAGCTTCCGAGATTTCTCCAGGTCTCATGATGAGCAAGCGAGGAGTAATGTCACAGTAAATGGGCAACCCATACCAAATTCCGTGATTAAAAAGGCTGAAAAGCTAGCCGGACCAATTCAACCTGGAAACTATTGGTAAGTATCCTTCAAAATCAGCTGCAATATTGTATCTGCACATTGTACTATGTCATATATAGATGTAGTCAAGCACCGTGATGAAATTAAAATTCTATAACAAGGATCAAAATCAGCTAAGGTTTGAAAATAGATTCTATGCTTGTCTATGGACCTAGCTTTATTAAACTTAGTTTGTGGAACTCTCAGATTATTGCACCTCATGGATTCAGCATTTCAGCTAATCTCTTATCATCTGCAACTGTTCATAGGCAAAGTTACATTTAATATTCTTTGCTTGGATTATAGATGAACTGTACAGAAATACTGCTTAAATGACTTGTACCACAGCTTTTCTAGTATCAAATTTACAGTTTTTATCTTGAGTTCTTATACAGTTTACTAATGGATCTGCCTACACATTTATTAGGTATGATTTTCGTGCTGGTTTTTGGGGTGCTATGGGCGGGCCTTGCCTTGGAATAATACCTGTAAGTTCTATCAACTTGGCACGTGCTAGCGATCTATGTACTTTACAATCCAATCAATGTTACTGAATAAGTTGATTTTTCTTGCAGCCACATATAGAAGAGTTCAGTCATCCCATGCCAGAAAATTGTGCAGGTGGAAGTACTGGTGTTTTTGTGAATGGGAGGGAGCTTCATCAAAAAGATTTGAATTTGCTTGCTGGTAGAGGACTTCCCACTGATAGAGATAGATCTTATATCATTGAAATTTCTGGGAGAGTCCTGGATGAGGACACAGGTGAAGAGCTTGATTGCCTTGGCAAACTTGCACCGACGTAAGTGCTGAGTTTCTGATGAGTACATTTTTCTTCAGTGATCAATTCTGCTTTTATTTTAGTTCACTTGTGTTTGACTGACTTGCTTGAGATAGTAGAGTGCTGTTAACTTGTTGTTTAACAACTCAAGTTTGTTCCATTTTTGACCCTGGCTTGGCATAAAACAGAGTGGAGAAGGTGAAGCATGGATTTGGCATGAAACCACCCAGAGCAGCTTCTTAATCCTCGTGCGGACTATAGCATGTTTCCTGTTACAGTTTCAAGAAGGAGAATTATGCTCCTCTTTTTCAATTGCAAAATATTATTTGGGATCAGGTCACAAATTCAATTTGGAAATTCTGCCAGGCTACTGGAAATTTTGTCTTATTACTATATATTTGTGTGCATGACTTGCATGTAGAAAAAGATGGTCTCAGTTTTTTTATTGATTTTGTAGGGTACTGAAAGTTTTTGCATCTTGAATCTTATTGTGAAAAGCTTTGCAATTTATTCCTTGATTACTTTTTACTAGGTTATTTGTTTATTTTCATCTGTAGTCATTCATTAAAATTGTAATGTTATGTCTATGCTTGTGACGAGGATCACAAGAAATTTTCTGTCAATATGATATAGTTCAAATATTGGCAAAATTTCAATTTATTATGATTGTCATGGTATGAAATTTTTCCTTTTCCTTTTGTTTCAATTTTGTCGGAAAAGTACTGTTAGTTTCAATAAATTTTATTTAGATTTGTTGAGTTATTCGTCTTTGTTCGATCAAAGCCCAAAATATAAGTACAATCAAAGGGGGGGCTTTTATCAGTATGATGAAAAAGTTTGGGTCTTTATATGTGATAAACTGGGGTCCTTGAGGTCATGACCACTCGTAATTTTTTTAAATTTTTTAGTAAAATATATAGATTATATATTTCCAACCCTTTTAAGTTGACATATTATAAAAACTTTGAGATAATATATAAAATTTTTATTTTAATTTTATAGTAGTCTTTTATGCTTGTATAGTTTGATATTTCAGTAGTTTAAAGATATAATTGTCATAAAATTTATAATAAAATAATATTACAATTGCTTTTAAAAAATTGATATCATTTGATTTTGTTTTCATTTTATATTTGATTAAAAAAATTATGAGAATTATTAGTAATAAACAAAAATATCAAGATATATTGAATTGCTTTGTGCTTAATATCTAACATAAATTCACTTATCTAAAAATTAAGACATTATGTTTAAGACATGTTCTTATAAAAATGTTACTGTTTTTTTATTTTTTGTAATAACTAATATATTGAAATTTATTATATGAATGATTTTTACTATGATATATTTAAATCTCATTGGCATAAGAAATTCATGACAATTAAACATCATTATCGTGTCAATGTATTTATTTGCTATAATTATCAATTGAAAGAATTAAATATAAATTTAATAAGTAAGTAATATAGTTTTTTAAATTGTATAAAACTTTATATCTCAAAAATGCACTTAAATTTTTCAATGGTCATGGAAAAATAAAATTTTCACCAATTTAATGATAGCTTATATTGAGAAAGAAATTATTAAAATTTTTATTATAAACATGATAATTAATTATTTTTATGCCATAAAAAATTGATGAAAAAACTTAAAAATGTAGTTATATATATTTATTTTTGTTATATATATATATATATACATCTAAAATTGAATATGAATATATATACTGAAATATTTATGTCATATATCACTGATATATGTAGATTTAATTTTTTTTAATTATCATATATGTTTTGTCATGTCAGCCTTCCTAATAAATTTTTTTTAACTCCACCCTTAAATACACTTTAGGTACTTCTCACGTTGTGTGTGGGTTACATGAGGAAATTAACTGTCTTCTCATCTTTTCAATGCTTCTCTTTCTCTCTTCTTCGCATCATGCGTTTGTTGTATGAACCTGAACCGAGTTTAATTTTGTGACTCCCTTCTCACGCACGTTCTAACATCTGATGCAACTAATTTAGATATATTTCTTCCTCCACAACTCACAAGATTATTTGAAACAAACAATTTTTTTTTTTGTTTTCAAATACAAGTGTAGGAAATAAATTTGAAGCCAGTTACACAACACGATGCCAAAGTATCAACTTGCAAATTACAATTACTTTTAGCTTGAAATTTGAAGTTTTAGTACAGGGCATCACATATTTTTACACAATTATATATATGGTATTAATAATCCAATCAGTACATTCTTAAAATCAATTGGAGGTAATCTTTCAACATATTTTTTCCATCTAAAAGGTATTAACTTGTTGTTTTATTAAAGATTCAATTAAAAAAAAAAAGGAGAATCACATTTAAGGGCCACTGAAAGAAATAATTTACAAATAAGGATTAATAACAAGTTTCATTTAAAAAAAAAACAAGTCACATTCCTTTGAATATGATTCTAAAAAAAAAATTACAAGAAGAATTAAGTTCTTTTTCCTTAACCCAACCATGATTAGTAATGCATCACATATTTGATTCTTATCTCAAATTATCACCATCCTATTAAAAAAATTTATTTTAAAACAATAAAGGCGAAGCTGACGGTGGGTCCCGCGAGCTGAAGGAGAGAACAAAATAGTTAGGGAATAAGGTATAAATTGCACAGACAAAACCTCACTGGTTTCTCCATTGCAAAATTTACATCTCCTGGCTCAAATCTTATATTATTTAAATTATATAGTCCTTCAAATTATTACTAACTTTTAGAAAATTCGCTATTAGAGCTCAACTAAATTTTATCATTTGGGCCGGTGCAAGTATATTTTTAAAACAAAACTTTAAAATGTAATTTTTTTTTCTTGTTTGGATGTATTGTTCAAATTTTTTTTTTAATTGAATTCTTATCTGCAAATATTTGTAAGTCACCCCTATCAAGTTAAAAAATGATAGCATTTGGATCCTTTGCATGAGGGCATGACCTGCCAGTATTAATAAACAATGTCTACAGTCTTATAATTTTGGCCAAGAGTAGTGTTCAACATCTAGGTGCCCGTTTGGTTAGACAAAATAATCGATTATTTTACTGTTAAAATCTATTAATCAAAAATATATTCAAACACGTAAAAATCATGTAATCGATTTTATTGGTTAAAATTGATTTTTTTCAAAGTTGGCAATTGGAGCGTCTGTGATAATCCATCAAAAAGCATTGGAGAAAATTACAAACAAAGACCCAAGAAAAAAATATAAAAAAATCCCAAAATTTAATAAAAATAAAACCAATAATATATTTTACTTCTTAAATAAAATGTAACAACTTTAATACTATTATATACAAATTTATTAATAATTTAATTTTAAAAAGCAATGTCCTTTATGGTAATTTAAACAGTTAAAATTTATTCTAAAAAAATTATTCAAACATCTTCAATTCTGTTAAAATTAATTTTAGAAAAATAACATCCAAACAGATTGCGTTCTAACATAATCAATTATGATTAAAATCTACCACTTAATCAATTATTTTCATAATCTATTATGCCCAACTGAAATCCAAACGGACCCTAGGTTTTCTTCAGCTTTATGTGTAACAACTTGGTAAAAAAATTTTTGTCTAACAGAAAGCCCACAACAGGAATTCACAGTAAATTAACTTTCATTAAATTGATAATTTTTGTTAAAAGACTTTAATAATAGAGAGACTCAAAATCAGGGGTGGAGTGAGGGGGAACCGGTAGGAGCCACGGCTCCCCCTAACTTTTTAATTTTTTTAATAAAATGTAGGAGTTATATATTTTCAATTCCCATAAATTGACACATTATAAAAGTTATGAAATACTAGATAAAATTTTTATTTTAATTTTCTATGTGTCAATTCTATATGTAGTTTTTTACATATGTATAAAGCAACTATTTCAATAGTTAGAAGATATAATTGTTATAAGATCTATTTATTTTTAACAAGATAATGTTATACATGTTCTTAAAGTATTGGTGCCATTTTATTTTGCTTTTATTTTATATTTAATAAAAAAAATTATGAGAATTATTATCAACAAACTTTGTTAAGCATTGCAACAAAAATCTCACGATATATTGAATGTTATGTGTTTGATATCTATCATAAAATCACTTATCCAATAATTAAGAGATTTGGTAAAGATTTTCTTCTAAAAAGAATTGCTTTTTTTTAAATAATCAATCTATTGAAATTTATGCTATGAATTATTTTTACTCTGATATAAATTCAATCTCAGTGACATAAAGATTTTATGACAATTGAGCATTATTAATATGTTAATATATTTATTTATTATGATTATCAATTAAAAGAATTAAACAGTAAATTCAATAAGAAAGTAATAGAGTTTATTACATTGAATAGAACTTTAAATTTTAATGATATATTTAAATCATTTAATGTTCATAGGGATGATAAAATTTTTATAAATTTAATAATAATTTATATTGAAAAGAAACTTGCTAAAACATTTATCATAGACATAATAACTAATAATTTTTATACTATGAAAAATTGATGAGTAAAACTTTATATATATATATATAGTTATGTGTGTAAAATTGAATACAAATATATATGTTAAAATATTTATATTATGTTAGTGATATATATACATATAATTCCTCCATTTAAAAATATAAGATATTTTTTTAAGAGTTGGATGTTCAAAAAATATAAGGTATTTTTAGTCTTTTGAGGTGTAATCATTACTTTTTTTTTAAAAGTGTTTTATTGATAATGACTTTATATTATTGTAGGGTATTTAATAGTGGTAAATGTGAAAAGATAGGGTTAGTTTGAAAGTAGATAATTATTTTATTAAATGGTGAGATTCGATTAAAAATGTCTTATATTTTTGACCAAAGAGAGTAAAACTTTTTTTTTAATTATTATATATATTTATCATCTTGGCCCTCCTTAACAAAAATTTTTGGCTCCGCCCTACTCAGGAAAGACATATTTGTAAGTCAAGCTCAAATAATTTTAATATGACTTTACCAGTTTAAAAATCTTATTTGCAATTAAATTTTTTGATGAAATGGCCCAATTACTTTTTTCATTTTCTTTCCTCCCTCTTCTTCATCACTTTGCCCTCTCTATCTTCCTCTTTGGATGCCTTGAGGAATTAAGAAACTTATATCATGTATTGCGGTAAGACATGGGTGTTCATATGAATATATAGAATCTAGTAATACAGAATCGATCCCTACTTTCATTTCCACATTGAACATCTTGCTGTTCAACTCTCCAACCTTACGCTCTTACTATTTATTTATTTATTTATTTATTTTTTTTTGGCTTCAATGGAGCATAAGCAAGAATTCTAAAAACACAACGAAATCGAACCTCTCCAACAGCAAGTCTGTCTTAGAGTGGACCCATGTCTTGCCGAAATATGTTACAAGTTTTGGTGGTGAAGAAGAAGAGAGGAAAGAAAATGAGGTGGTCATTTCACCAAAAAATTTAATTGCAAATGAGATCTTTGAACTTACAAAGTCATATCAGAATTATTTGGGCTTCATATGCAAATATATGTGTGTTATAAGGGTCCTAAGTGTGATCCTCCCTTAATAATAAATTGACTTTGGCCAACAAAAAATTAAATTAGTACTAAATTTCATTTGGGATTGGTGAAAGAAATAGAATGCAGAATCCAGCAGCAAGACAATATCATATAACAAGAGTTTTAGATCTCAAGCCATAGGAATAAAATCACCACGCCAACCAATTAATTTTTTTCCCCGACATTAAGAGAATTGATTAATGTATCATGTGATGAGATATATTTATCAATAAGTAAATAAATATATAAGTTGTGATTAAGTGGAAAGTAGAAACGTGTGATCGGAGTATATTTGAAGATATAAAAAACAAAAGATTCAGATGCAACCAGGGACATCTTCCCAATTGAAAAATGAAAAAATTCTTTGCTCTCTCTGTCTGTCCATGTTTTTGTTTTGTCGCTTTTGGGGCAGTGATGGACCAATTTGATGAGCCACTCTTACCATCCTGTCCATTTCATCTCTATCCTCCGTTTTTTTTTTTTTATTCCTTGATTTTACAAGAATCATATGGAAGAGGAAGAGGGTTGATATATGGGAGAACTTGGGGTGGGTGAATTTGTCCAAGAGCCCATCCATCATCTCTTCAATCTCAAGATAAAGGCAAAGACCAAGTCACTATTGTCCATCTACTTTTCTAAAACCATTCCATTATTTATTCTTTTCTCTCATGTAGAATATATGAATTATTTCTAACTACTTTATTAGAATTATCGAGAGATAGTTAAATTATTAATTTTTATCTTAAAAAAAGTTTCTTAATTTATTTTTATTAAATGCATTATTTTTAAAAATATTTTCTATTTCATATGAAATATTTCACTCTGTTTATAGAAAATTGTGAAAGAGTAAAATTGAAAAAAAAAAATTAATGATATACTTTTCTTATGCAAAGTGTAACTTATGGAAAAAAAAAAAAAAAACCCCACACATTCTTTCTTGGAGATAATTTATATACAAAACTGGATGGAACATATTATAACAAGGCTCGCTGATCTTATTTTCCACCTTCCTTCACTCTCAAGCATACTCCACACACAATGATTAACCCAACGACACTGCATGAGCAGTGACCAATATTCGCTCAACATTAAACACCATTCAACATGATTAAGCCTTTTCTCTTGTTAAATTGACCAACCATTTCCCAATTCTGACTTCTTTCCCAATATTTACTCATATTTCAAATATTCTCTCCTATCTTTGTTTTCAATAAAATTTGAGATACTTGTAGATAGCCGTAAAATCATTATTTAAACATTTAACTAATATTCACGTCAAACACAAAATAGTGGTTCAATCTCAGGAAACAAAACTTTTTCCTACTTCATTGTATATGCTATATTGCAATAGAAAGGAAAGGTCATCAAGAAGCTTCCAAGTTCCAAAGAACCTTATCATTATAATGCGATACTCACAACCCTGACAAAGGTTAAAAAGTTCATATCTTTAAATCTTTGAATAAAGTCGTTGTGGGACGAGTAAGGGAAAATAACGTCTAACGACCCAAACCTGTAAAGCTTCAATTATAATTCATTTTAACTCTCATGATAATTATCTAAAAGTTAATATTAAATACTGAGATTTGAGCATAATTTTTAGAAGATTTGAGATTCCTTTTTAGTGAAAATAAGTTGAAGTAATAGATATTCATATAAAGAAATAGAGATGCTCACCCAGCACATAAGTAAATTATAAAGCAATGATGCAGCTGCCACATCAAGGTTTAATTTAATCTTTCTTGTCTGTGTGTGCGCATGTGTGCGCATGTGATGTGGGTGATATTGTGAATGTCATGTGAGCAGAGGCGAAGGTTCAATCCAAGCCAGCTGGTTTCCAAGCAAGCATTTAACCCATTGATGAATTTGAATTACAAATCATTAACATTAACTAAATCCTCTCACTCTCTGAATTCAATCAAAATAGGCTCTGACACCCTGTCAACTAACTAATTTTCTTAATAATACAAGCAAATGATTCACATTCAACAAAATTTATCTCTGAGGTTATGGAATTAAATTATTCACTCTAAAAGATTGGATTTTTCATCAATATTTTAGATGCCTAAAAAAATCAAGATACCCTAATGAGCTAGTAAAGTAAAAGTATTGCAGTATTACGTACAAATCCTAGAAAATATTGACTAATTCAAACTATTGTCAGAAATATCATTTCTGGGAAAAATAACTAAAAGAATTAAATTAAAAAACAAACTTATGCCTTATGGTTTTAGAAATTATCCTTAACTACTCTTCAAATGATCTCTTCTATTTTTTAAATTTATAACATTAAAATTTTCATAAAAAGATAAATTAAATTTTTTTAAAAAAGTAAACGATCAATTAATAATATTTATAGCATTTTTAGTCTTTGAAAAAATAAATAAATTTTAAGTCATCTATAGTAATTGTTTTCTGGATAAATCAATGACATTTTCCCTTCTAGTGGACCCGTCGAACAACATTAACTATGCTGTCATCGCAACCTATATTTATTTTATTTTATTTTATTTTTTTTAAAATAAATAATCATTAATCATTACGTAAATGATCTTCATGCTAAGCGCAGTTTGGTTGGTCGAGAAAAATGCTTAATTTATTAGTCTCTGCTGCTTTGCCTTGTTCTTCTTCCTCCACAGATTTTCTTGAGTTCCCTTAACACCGAATGATGAAGGAAATGAGGTCTGCTTGGAACCCCTTTTTCCTTCAAAAACACAAAAACCAAGCCTTGCTCAAGTGTCTACTCTCATTTTTCTTGGTGGGTCTTGCTCTTCGCCTTCTCTTTTCTGATTCTTTCAGCTTATTGTCAGTGGTACAGACACCTCCTGCTCCGAAAAACGACAAATCAGAGTCCCCTGTTCTTTTTCCTCCTCCTCAAGTTCTTGATTCTGTTGATTTTCCGGGAAACCAGAACCAAACGTCCCTGAAAGGTCAGAAAATTTTCCGGCTTTTCTTCCCAAGGGTATTATTCATGGTGATTATGGGGCAAGACATGCATCCAGTGGACCATAACTCTTGTTATTGCAACTTATCCTCATGATTTTTGTTTCTAATTTGTGTCTGAAGCACCAAGACATTGCATGTTCTGGTGCATTGCAGAGTCAGTTTCTTTTCATTACTTTTGAGTTTCAGTTGCTGGAAATGCAACGAATCTTGAAACTTTCTAAGAATCAGTGATACTACGACATAACACAAATACCTAAATATATCAAGATATACATTGTTATTAATCAGACAAGATACTGGTTTGTCTCTCAAGTGCCGATGCTTCAAAATTTTCCAGTTTTTGAGGTTGGGAAACGGCCTTTATTTATTATTATTATTATTTTTTTTTTTTTGCATACATGCTATTTCTGATTCCCGGTTTCCATTTAGGTAATTTACTTGTGACTTTTAACTCATCAATTAGAATTAATTTTCAGTTTAAGCATTCAAAACTGCTATAGCACAGAGTTAGTGACATGTTCCACTGCATATTCGTTTGGCTTCGTAGCAAATACTTAAGAAGTAACTCATCTAAATCTGATCGGGTGTCAAATGCTTGTTTTGGTTATTAACTGATGAATGTCCATTAAAAATATGCAGTTTCAGAGAAATGTGATCTTTTTGTGGGTGACTGGGTCCCGGACCCATCTGGTCCATTGTACACCAACGAGAGCTGCAATGTGATTGAAGATCATCAAAACTGTATGAGAAACGGACGTCCTGACAAAGGTTACCTATACTGGAGGTGGAGTCCTAGGGACTGTGAATTACCCAAATTCAATCCACCAAAATTTCTTCATCTCATGAGGGATAAATCCTTGGCTTTTATTGGTGATTCCATCTCTCGTAACCATGCCCAGTCCCTACTTTGCATACTCTCACAGGTACCGTTAACTTGTTCTTGTTTAGCCGTTTTCTTTTCTTTTCCGAAATCACAATCAAAGAATCTCATCGCATTTTGTCAGAGATGAGGGCGTACTTCTTTGATCTGGTATATTTAAGATTTGCTCTTGTTACACATCATAGAGACTTTAACATAGATCGATAAGGAAGAATATTGTCGTTTATTACTACCGTAATGGCTACATCAGTTTCACTGTTTTCATCAATTTAGGGGAAATCTGAGTGGCATATGTTCTCTGGGACTTCCCTTTGGTATTCTTCAATCCAGTAAAAGCCAATACTTGCGATAAAAGGGACTCTGTTCATAAACATATCTGAGATCTGAGATATATTCTGCACGCATCTGCTTATAGGTCAAGTGAGAGTAAGAATATGTCACTTTTGGCAATTTAAGTTGCAGTGGAGTAAAGCTAGCATATTCATCATTAGTCCGCTGCTTTTAAAGACGGCATAATGTCTTTTTCAAGGAAGGTTTACCTACCATGATTATGGAAAGAACTCGGAGTTTTCATAGTCTATTAACAAGCCCATCAAGATTAGTTTTAGGTGGCAAGTATGAAGAAATTTCCGATCACCAAGAATGGAGCACCATCACAGCCTCGTATCATGTCAAATTCTTGTGTAGATTCATTCTACAAATTACAGGCAGATGAAAATGGGGGGGGAGGGGAATGTTGGAATATGCTTAGTAAAGTTTTCAGTTAGAAATGGATCTAACATGTTCATGAGTTCATCCGTGATTAACTCGACCTGTTTGTTTTTGGCGTGTCCTGCGTTTTGTTTGGTTAGCATATGTAGGAGTGATCAAACAATGCTGAACCATGTGACAGTGATTGCTTCTGTCGTGCTTTCATTGCTTTCCATTATGATAGTCATTACATTTATCCCCACATACAAACCTAGCCTCCCTATTTGCAGCCCTGTGCATAGTCTTCTGTTTGCTGCTAATATGGTCCTACAAATTGAGAAAATGGCCAAATTTCATTCGCTATATTCTGCAGGTGGAGCCAGCTCTTGAGATCTACCACGATGAGGAATACAGATCCAAGATATGGAAGTTCCCCACTCACAACTTCACACTCTCATTAATATGGACCCCTTTCCTTATAAAATCAGCCATATTTGAGGACATAAATGGAGTCTCCTCCTCAGAAATACAGCTTTATCTTGATCACCTTGACAACAAATGGACCAGCAAGTACGAGGATTTTGATTATGTTGTAATCGCCGGAGGCAAATGGTTTCTGAAGACTGCAATATACCATGAGAATGACACGGTCACCGGCTGCCATTATTGCCCAGGAAAGAATCTAACAGAGTTAGGGTTTGACTATGCATACCGGAAAGCACTAAGACTGGTTTTTGACTTCATCAAAAACTCTTCCCACAGTGCTATGGTTTTCTTCAGAACCACCACACCAGACCACTTTGAGAATGGAGAATGGTTTAGTGGAGGGTACTGCAATAGAACAGTTCCCTTCAAGCAAAATCAGATTGATCCCAGCGATGCAGATTCCACCATGCGTGATATTGAGCTTGAGGAATTTCAGAATACTGCATCCCAGGGACTCAACCATGGTGCAACTTTGAAACTTCTGGACACAACTTTCCTCTCACTCTTAAGGCCAGATGGACACCCAGGACCGTACCGGCAGTACCAACCATTTGCAAGGGATGGGAATGCTGAAGTTCAGAATGATTGTTTGCATTGGTGCTCGCCGGGACCGATCGACTCATGGAACGAACTGTTAATGGAAATGCTTGTCAATGACGGATAATTTTGAAGCTCAACAGTGTGTTTGGATGGCTGAAGCTGGTAGGAAGCACAGCTTTGATAATCTGCAAGTGACGCTACCTGCTGCAATGTATTTTATGGCAAAATATGACCAGTGGGGTTTGTGTTCATCGGAGGAAATACAAGAAAGGTTTCGTTTGGTAGCAAGCAGGCCATTCATACATTTTCCTTCGCCTTGTTTGCAAACTGAAATTTCAACCAGTAATTCTTGTAATTTTATTAATGGCACCACAAGAAAATAGTTGTCATTATAATATAAAGCATGGCATTTTTGCTTAATCATTTATCTTCAACATTTCATTGTTCAAGGATCAAAACAGTTGCACAAAAGTGTCCAACTTTCAAACACAAATTGTAGGCCATCTCGAAGGCAGTTGGATTGTCTTCCTGCGCAACAATTCTAACCCACCACTTTTTTACAACGCCAATATTCTAATTTTTTCATCATACATTTTTCTTCGAAACTAAAAATAAGAAAAAGATTTTAACTTTCAGCAGTCAAATATCCGATTACAGTCATTTATATTATTTTCAATTGGAAGAATGACTGTACTTTTATGATTTACTTTTCTCAAGATAGAAATAAGAAATAGTTGGGATCAGGATTGCTGCTCCACCCATTTCTAACTAAAGAGTCTATACCCTATATCTGACAAGGCATAATAACCCATAAGCGAACTTTGATAAATAGAATGACGATGCTATTTTGTAGAGGTAATGGAAAACTTAAAACCACATGGTATCTGTTTTTTCTGAAAGGAAAAGTCGGTCATCTTAAACTTCTGTAAGCAAAACATCAGTAGATACAGTCATCTAGGCTAGGGTTCATACCCCAGACTCCGTTCAGAATCTAGTACTTATTCACTAAGGAGTGAAACTCTCGCAAAAACACATACAAAGAGATCACAAAACAAAGATTAGAAGACATCCCGAGTGTAAACTCCTTTCGACATCGTTTCTCCTACTTCGTTGCATGTTGATCATCAGGGCTTCTTTTCTCTCCTTTAAGGAATGGATTCTGCAAATTTGATTACAAGAAGTCAATTTCAATCACAAAAGGGAATATAAACCAGGCCTGCTTTATGCTAACAGCCAGTAATAATACACCAACAAGCAGTTGTCAGGGGCGCAACTAATTTGCAGAACGCTAGACGCTGAAAGAATTCACCACAGATAAAGCAAAATTTACAATCTAGCATGAGGATCTCATCACTCTTTCTGATCTATTATGTAATTCATTCCATTTTAACATTTATATTTCCCCCTCTTCAATTTAACAAAATCAAGGAAAGTGTATAGGTGATTGTATGCTTTCTTGCGGGTTGGATAGTGCCACAATCTGTATATTGGGTCAATCACTACAACCCGAAAATGTGAAGAAAAAACGTCTCGGTGACAGTCTTGAAAGAACAAGGCCCAATTCTTATACTGTTATGTTTTGCTTGAACCAATACCCACACGAAAACACGAGCCAAAAATGTACTACCATGTCTCCCTGTTCCCATAATGTCTAATGATCAAAGCAGTCTTAAAACTAGAAAAGCCTTCGCTCAGTTAGCACCGATACTGAAATTTCAAAGTGATCAAACCAACCACATCAATCAATCAGATACAGACACTTCTAAGCAAATGACCAACCCAGTAGATCATCAATCTCATAAAACCTAATCATTCATCCTTTTTATAGGATATTATAGTTCTAGCTATAATTTACTATACACAAGAAGCAAAGCCCGTATGAGAGTGCACAGAAATGTCACCCTAAAGCATACTGAAAGGTGGGGGGGATCAAATTTCCAGGTAAAATAAAGGAAGGAAACCTACAATTTAAAACCAAAATTTCAATTTCATTCCTTTTCATCCGGCCTAAAGCAGTAGTCAGAAAAGCCAAGAAACGAATCAAGCGATAATTCACAAGAGTCAAAAGACAAAACTAAAATCATTATACGATATCCAATCAGATTAAACTGGTGAAATCACGGAACGAGATCAGATCATTTATCAGCATCCTGACTCAATAAACAATCAAAATCAATGCTTTCGTACAAATCTAGAACGGGGATTGACCGCAGTCGAGGGGGACAAAAGATTGAAGGAACTGAGAAATAGGAAAAAGAAGAAAATACATCGATGACGAGATTAGCGGCGACGACTGTGCCAACGATGCCGCCGACAATAGCAGCCGGTCCGGTAAGGAGGGACCACTTTCTGTAAATCATCTTCCTCCGCTGGCTATTCACTCCCAGATTTCAGCTTCCTGTTACACCGAGCAACGTGAATATATCAAAGTATAAAGCCCACTTAAAGGCCATCGCCCAAAACCCATGTTTGTACGCCGAAAAAATCAAATATTTCACGTCGAAGGAATATTATGTAAGGGCATGGTTGTTTTTAATTTTTTTTTCATAAAAAATTACTTGTTTTTTAAAAATTAATTTGTGAGATTTTATAATATTTCTTTAAATTTTTAAAAATGATTAGAATATAATTTTTTTAATTATTTTGAGAAGCTATACTAAGTAATTCTAAGGATGATATGAAATGGTAGATGAGAGAATTTCATAAGATTTCAGTACAGAGATATTATAAAATTTTAAAATAATTAAACAATAAAGGTAAAACTTATATACTTAACTTTATATATTTAATATACTTACATACAATTAAATTAAGATAAGTTAATCTTAATATGTTAACTAAATTAATAACAAGAATGACTGTAGTATAAATAATCAGTAAAAAATTCACATATCTTGATTTAATTAAAAGCAAGTATATTAAGTATGTAATGTTAAATTATAAGCTTTTTTAAATAATAATTTATTTTTATAAAACAAAAATTCATGAAAATACAATAAAATAAAAAATAACCAAATAATAATCACCTTTCATCATTGTAATTAAATATAAAATAAATTTTTACTTTTTATAAAATCTGCAAAATAAATTTTTAAACTATTTAATAATTACTTATTTTTTAATCTTGAACAAATTACCCCCAAGTCATATCGATGACTTATAAACAATGCAACTTTATTTTTATATGTAGACAGGCATATAGATAATAAAATTGCTTATTGTTAAACTAAGGGCAACTTCATTTATTCTTGATATGCATAAGGAGTTTGTTCTATTTAATTGAAAGTGTACATTATATATAAGTTTAATCAAGTTCTCTCCTTCTAAAAATCGATGTCATGTCATTATGTAACTTAATTTTAGTCAAAGATTATTTACAATTTTTCTATATCATTATGGGGGAACGAAAATTCATATCATTGTATAAGTTTATAATCTAATTCTCAATTCAACTCAATGACGTTGAAGCAAAAATTGAATTTGAACGTTTAAATTTAAGGATGACACAACTTTTAATATTTTATGTTTGCATAAGTTATTAATTGAATTTCTCAAATTTAATTTCTATCATTTCAATATTAAACGTTTGCACTAGTGATCAAGCTAGTCTTTAAAGTTTTTTAAAATAAATTAGCCTTCAAAATAAGTTGATATGTAAATTAAATTGTTAATATGGATATACACTTGGATAACTTAACACATGAGTAAATTTTTATTTCCTAATTGCTGATGTGTATTGATTTTCATCATTTCCTATTTTCTAAATTGTAACTTTTACTTTATAGCTTTCAATCAGGACAATTAAAAATGTTCCAAAAGGCGAGAATGGTTTTGCATGATGCTATGGTGCAGGACCGTGAAGGAAACTTGCACATGTCGGCATGACTCTACATTACTCCTTCCATTTTTATTTATAAAAAAAATTATATTGCATAATTTAAAAAAATTAATTAATTATATTAATTGTGTCTGTAAATAAAAGAATTAAACTATAATATATTTCATTAATTATGTTAATCAAGCCTTCATTAATTTTTTTATGATTATGAATAATAAAATTATGAGGGTATTTCAAAGTTTGCAGTAAATATTTAGTAAAAAATATAATTTTACTTATATAAAATAATAATTTAAAGATAATAGTTTGTTTTACATATAGAAACGGAAAGAGTATTTGAGATTAACATCGACGTACAGCAACTTAAGGTGTGGGATGATGACATTGAACACTGAATGATGAAGCCAGACAGCAGCGAGAGATTTTCGTGCGAACACTCTTCTTCCTTCTTTTTCTTCTTGCCCTTGCAGACAATGAAGACTGGTGATGCAGCTTTTGGTTTTGTAGTTTTTAAAACATCAAGTATGTTGCCTTTTTTTTTTTTTAATTGCCTTATCCAAGTCAGCATTCTTGTTTTACACGATATTAATCTACATGGCTGCCATATCACTATTCCGTTAGCCATGTCAGTGAAATTTAACTCTGTCAATTTCCCACGTAACGTTAAGGATTTCTTAGGCAAGTATATAAAACATTAAATGTTGGAATGATAAAAATTAAACTTAAAGGATCAAATAGATAATTTATGCAAATATAAAAGAATTAAAAGTTATGTTATCTCTTAAATTTAAAAATATTTTTATTGCTTATTTATATTTTATAATTCATAATCCTTGATTTTTAGATATCAAAAGTTGAAATATAATTTAAAGGTTATTTAATCTTTCTGAAACTATAGAAACTAAAAATTAAATTCAATAAAATTATAGAGATCAATAATTATGTTTTTTTAAAAATAATAAGTACAAGTTATGAATTATAAAAAAAGATAAGTACAATTATGAGTTAATGTTAGGTCCCATGAAAATTAGTCCTGGTTAGGGGAGAAGGATATCTCCTTTCCCATATTTTTCATTTTTCTCCTTTTCTTTTTATCATCTCTTTTCCAGTATTTTCCATTTTCTCCTCTTTCTTAGTGTTAAATCAAAGTTTTTCAACGGTTTTAATTTAATTTTTAATAAAATTAATATTATTATTACATAAAAATATAAAAATAAAATATTAAAGTTTTAAATTTTTTAGATCAAATTTTCACAATTCAAATTTATTTATATACTTTTATATAAAATAATAATATTTTTATTAAATATTAAATCAGAATAGTTAAGTCCCAATCAGCACATTAACTTAGATCCACTTGGTATGATAGGTGATATTTTCAATCAAATTTAAATTTCAGTCAATATTTTTAATTGTCAATGTTGAGTATTTAACATAAAGGGCAAATATGTTATGTTTTAATTATTTTAGAAGCAAAATTACTATAGCAAATAGTCGAGGACACTTGGTGCTCCTCAAAAAATAATTTAAGAATAAAAATGTATCTAAACTCATTTTCTCAATAGGATGATACTTCAAATCCTAATAGATCCTCATATCAATTTGGTGAGTGTAGGGGTGTAAGTTTGATTTCAAAAATAGAATTTTATATCCCTTAAAAGGCACAAGACAACAGTCTCTTTCTACTTGAACCAATTACTATAAATCATTGAGCCAACATTTTATTAGCAACAAATAATACGTGCAATAATAATGATGTTGATGATAATAATAATAATAATAATAGTAATAATAATAATAATGCATTTTATTTTGTGACCATCTAGACATCATCTTGGAAAGCTTCAAATTTCAATTTCAAATTCAAAATCACTGGCCTTGTTTTGAATTCCCATGATACCCTGATCCAAGGTTCCAAAACTGCTCAAAGCCATAGTAACGGATAGCATTGGCAGCAACGGCACACTACAATCCAAAGCCAAGATTATTCATAAAAAACAACAAAAGAGTACCTAACGGCCCAGATGGGTCCCATTCCAACGAAAGACGAGAGAGAGACAGATATGAAATCATACTTACAGCCTCGCACTCATCACATTGGCCACCATTTGCCTCCTTTCCATTGTTATATAAAGGAGCTTCCTCAGTCTCATACAATCATCAACATAGCCGAGTGGTTTGAACTTTGAATCTTGTTAATTAATTCTATTGTCCTGCGGGTATTCTAGTGATTTGATTTGATTTGAGTTTTAAGGCATGGCTTTTTTCAAGAGTTCTGTTGAAATTTTTGCGATCTACTCTCTTGTTTTCGCAATATTTATGCCCTTCATCGTTCCAGCCCAATCTGTCCCTCCTGCTCCTGCACCAGGCCCCGCCAGCGATGGTAAGAACTCTAATTCAGAATGCTAGCATTTTCATAACAGCGTTCCTATCTCTCTTTCTCTCTCTGGTCTTCAGAAAGATTTTCCAAATCTGTATTCAAATGGAGTTTCAACTCTTGAAACTTGTCTAAGCAGCATGCTTTTTTTCCCGCGCTGTTTTTTCATTTCACCTTCCCCAGGGATGCATGTTTATTTTCAACCGGCACGAGTCTGAAGAATGAATTATTATGTGTGTCATGTCATACTGATTCATTTTCTTTCTATTATTTTGTGATCCAGGTACTTCAATTGACCAAGGGATTGCATACGTGCTCATGTTTGTGGCACTGGTTCTCACATACCTCATTCACCCTCTTGATGCCTTTTCTCAGTAGGCTTTTTGTAGGATCTAAGAGAGATTGAACATAGCGGGTGCTCCTTAACGCTCCTCCTCTTCTGGATAATTTTCCTGTATCTGGATTCTTTTACCCTCTATTATTTATTTATTTATGTATTCAATATATTGCCAGTGGTGGGACTATTGTGTTTATCTGTTATACCCATTTTATTTTCAGTTCATGATCATCGCTCCACTCTTTTAATCCTTGAAGGATAGGGAATATCGATCCGTTTAGCACTTGTCATCCGTATCTCCATCATTGTCAACTTGCAGTCAATCAAATTATAAACTAGAAAACATAAAATCAGTGAAACATAGCTAGTGGTGGTGTTTATTATTTCTAACGAATATATGTTGTCAAAACGCATACAACTTCCATCAGACTGAGGACAAATTATAGAGCTGAATGAAAATTAACCAATAGAAGAAAGGAAAACAAAAAGCAATCTGAAACAAAGGCTTCATTGCAAATTTAGCATTCTTTTGCCTCCTGACAGGAACGTACACGTCCAAGAATCACACCATCCTCATTAACCTCATAAAATGTAATGATTCTCCGATTATTTTGCAAATGAAGTGTGTACACATTTTGTCTAGCCGCCGGGGGAGGGGGTGTTCAGACGCTTTCAAATAACCTTGATCAATCATTTTGCTCCTTTGAATCATTTAGCCTCACAAGCTCTGACTTCTTGCGATGTCAAAACACTGTTGGCTTCTGGTGTTGAGATTGATTGTCTAGCCACAATTGAAGCTAATCCCATGAGCAAAAGCAAGACCTTCCATTCAAATGGGGTTGAAAGCCTGGAAGATCAATGCGCGTGTAGTCTGTGATGTAAAGTATACTTGACAACTTCGTAGAACGAGACAACTATCCCTACCGAAGGGCCAGTGCGACCTAAGCGGGGGCCAACTCCTGCAAATAGCCCTCTTAATCCCCCATCCCTGTCTCACCCCAAGTACAGAGAGCAAATGTCAGTCCAAAGCATTTTAAAGGAGTCAATCATGTGATTGGAACCATAACCAATTGAAAAGACATACCTCCAAATCTCCAGCAATGTTGTCCTCGTTGTCATTTTCAATGCCCGTTCATGATCCTTCTGGAAAGTTACAAAGTTGATATGTTAGAGAACAATGCAGTCATCATGCTATTTATAATGTCACAAACTTCCTCAACGAACATCAAATTAACATATCAGACACTGTCTAATATAAAATTTAAAATAAATATAATTTTTGATCTCTATACTTTACTCGTGTTTTGCTTTTGGCTCCTATACTTTTTTTTTATGTTTTAGGTCCCTGCACTTTTGTTTTTAATTGTTTTGCGTCCTTCCAAGGTCCTTATACTGTGTTCATAGAGGGACTGAAAATAATGAAAAACAAAAGTATGGGGGCCTAAAACTTCAAAAAAAAAAAGTATAGGGACTAAAAGCAAAACACAAGTAAAGTATAAGGACCAAAAGTTATATTTATAAGAAGCCACATTGCTCATAAAAGAGTGTGACTCATCTCAAACTCTGAACAAAACAAAAGATCCACAATTTAATTGTTTTTTTATGAAAAGTAAAACTAGGTATCAACTATAGAGGAGAATGGAATTAAACGGTTGGGTCTATAACAAAGCTAGAAAAAATGTTGCAGATGTGCCAGTTGATCTTACTGATAAACCAAAATGATCAGAGTTTAGAAATGCATTGATGTTCCAACTTCATTGCACTTTTATGAGAATTTTCATTCAATTTGAATCCCACCGTCATATGTTGATGAGGAATAACTAACAAATTCACTGTGTACGCAACTGTTTAAAATTGTAGCTCACCTAATGAGGCTAGGAATTTGATTTCGGTCAGCAGTTTGCTTTGTATTCTTACGTGATAAGTTTCACTATAAATTTAACATTTATTTACGAACAATCTGTGCTTGTCATCTGTTTCTATAATTGTGGTGTTTAAATTTCTGCCTTTTTGTTTGGGGAAGGGCAGTGTTTATAAGTATAATAATCTGCACTCTGGAAGCTAGGTTTTGAGAAACAACCTCTATTTGTCGCCGAGTTTTTGCCACATCTAGTGGACATGTGACAGCAGCTGCCAAGGTTCCAGCAGCAAAACCAGCTAAAAAGTTTGCCCCAAGGATAGTGGCTGCACTTGCTTCTTCACCTACCAGACCAAGAATTTTTCTCCTTATCTGAATTGAATTGCATGAAAGTGGCACTCAATATGTTACTGACTCTAAACAATACCCTAAAAAGAAACCAAAATCTATTCACTCATGGCTTAAGCAGTAATATCTTACTGGCTCAAGGGTTGACCAACAAATTGCAGAAAACGGAACATCCCGAGCAAGTGTTGCTCCCACGCCAGTCCACCAGAAACGGTAGTTATGTACTGTTAGAAAGGGTCATAAAATAAATAACTACTAATTGACTCAATCATGCATTGCCTCAAAAGGATGATAAAGAGAAAAGCAGATCACAGAAAACAATCAGCGCTGCACTTACAATTCTGAAGGAGGCTTGTGCCATTTGCAGGTTTGATGATTCCAAGCAATGTCTTCCACACGCCTGGAAGCGTGCCATTTTGGCTAGCTCTAAATGCCTAAACATGGGTAAATGAAAAAACAAGTATTACTTAACATCTATAAAAATCAAAGCACTCAAGTTTATTTAGAAAATGCTTTTCAAATGAAGAAAGTATTCATTGAGAGTAAAGCAATAGGGGCTGCAAGGACAGAGGGACCTCATCAACCAGAATAGCCGAAACAATGCACCAGGTTTTCACATACCAAAGAAGAATAAAGAAAAGGTGAAGATGACCAGACAAATCATATCCAAGGTCGGCAATGGTTTACATGATTTTATTCCTAAAACTAAAATGGTCTGTACTTTAGGCTTTATGGTAAACCTCCAACTCTTACAGCACAACCAATAGATTCTCAAGAGTGGAGGTGCAAAAAGTTCATTTCTCTTAACCCCAAAACTAAAGCCGTGACCTTTTCCTCAGGTCTGAACCCTACTTCTAAAGGCCAAGAATCTCCAGAGTGTTATCTGTCAGCAGTTCGAGAACCTGAACCCCACCCCCTCCCCAAAAAAATCTTCTTGCCTTAAGAACTGTTTGCCCAACCTTCTTGCTATGTCATGATTTCCTCATCCAAATTATGGGTGTTCATTTTTCATTATTGTCTATCTCTAAATGATATAATGACCTAAATCTCACAAATTACCACACAAAAATTAGCCACAGCTTCATCAGAGACTACCTGCATGCGTGTCCTTGCAAGTTCAATAGGATAACAAGAGATACAAGCCAATGACCGTGCTAATGTTCCTGCAACCAGTGGAACATAGGGTGTTAAGTTTGGAGCATTCTGAGCCGTATAATCATCCATGATGTTGCGGAAGATATCATAACAAGGCATGTAGATTCCAACCTAATGGACAGCAAAAATACAATAACATTAGAATATAACAGCATGTGAGATGTAGATAGTGCATTCTACAATCCAAGTGATTGGTATCAAGCCCAAAGAAACCCATAAAACAATATAAATCCTATATAGGAAAGAGAGCTTACAGATGGCACAGCCAATGCTAAACTTGCGTTCGTGCCTCTCCACAATCTTGTAAATCCTTCCTGCATAAATTAGCTCCCATGATCCCTCTTATAGTAAGTTATTTGCATGCCATTGAAAAAATAGGACTATGCGGTAATTACAGTGGGAAAGCAACAAGAATGCTCTCATCATGACTCATGCATGAAACATGACATGTATAAGCCTAAACTAGAACAGTCAAAACTTCCTAACTAATTTCCCACATCTTATGCTCTAGATAGAGATTACTATTAAAGAATATACTTCCATTCATGCATTGCCATATTTAACTACTGCCAATTCTTATTTAGTTCTTTCACATAACACGTCATCAAATGCCTTATTGCTCACTACACAAAAGAATTAGTCAAAGATTGTGATTCTTAAAGTAAAAGAATCAGACATCTATCTATGGATTTCTAAAAAGCTCCTTGATTTTCTCCTCATTGCCTACCTTGTGGCACCCTAAGCAACTTGCAAGTCAGAAGAGCCGAATCCCCTTTCTTCAATATACTTGTATAATACAGCATGAAAAGAAAATATCCTTAGGATTATTGCCCCTGATTTGAATTTAAGTTTGAATATTTGCTTGGTATACTTCCTCATTCAAACCCCAGTATTTCTTGGAATTATTTGATAAAAGTTCAGGCTCTCAGTTTCAGGGCTCGCACTTTGACCTGTGTTACTTTTTGCTATTTCTCTAACCCTTGGTTTGGATGGGGAGAAAATTAAGAAGGAAAGAAAACTATTGAGGGAAAATTGCCAAAAATAGTTTTTTTTTTTTTTACCATTTTTAGCAAACTTCCCTCCTATTTTTACTTCCCCTCCATTTTCCTCACACTTTTCTCTCCATCCAAACAAAGCATAAAAGTTATAATATCTGAAAATCACTTCTTGGTCAACAGGTAGCAAGTCTTTTAGCAGGTTGTCATGTTATAAATCAGACTAAGAAAACAGAATAAAGTGTGTCTTGGTATTTTCCGTTGATTACTATAGTAGTAGCCTATCTATATAGCCTTGATCCTTGGTTTAATTTTCCATTTTTATTTTTTTCCATTTAAATAGGGAGTTCATATCAGTCTGCCAGTATTACTACTTCAACAAATCCTGATTTAATTCAGAGAACAGCAAACAGATAGATGTTAATAGTGAACCAAGAATTTCCACTGAAATCTCGTCATAACATCTCACAAAAAGTTGAAAGTTATTTATTTAATTTGTTCGAGTGAATTTTTCAACATAATTGAAAATCCATGCACTAACCTGACGTATAACTTTGTATAAGACGTCAAGGGTTCCCCTGTACTGGTTAGTGTAACATCCCAAAGGGCATGCTGATCCTGATTTAGAAACTGCTTGGATAACGGGATATCTTGCATCCGGTACCCCCTGAATAAAAAGATCAAAAAAAAAAAAAACTGTGATCCTTCCTGTTAGTTCAAAGGAAAATATCATTTTGATGAACTCATAGAAGCAAGAGAAGTAAAATACATAATCAATTATGATCAGACAAATACATGTAATTAACAACCATCAATTTCCAAAGCAAACACAATTATGCTTCTATGCTTTACAACCACAGTTGATTGGATAAAAGACAGACACACACACACTTGTGAATGCAAACTTTCTCGAATAAAATTTTGTGAAGAGCACCACTTATTATACCGTATTTGTTTCACAACCCATGCGGCAAATGCTTTGATAAGAAACCCCAGCAGCCTGAGCTTGCAGTCTTGTCTGAAAAAAGTTATCATAATGAAATCTAGATTCAAGCATTCTTAAACTAAAGCTTGACAAAAACTAATGTTAAAAAAATGAAACACGTTTACATAAGGTATGGCTAATCTTTTGAACATTCCTATCAAAGAGAAGAAACATCACATTGTTGGTCAGTGAGAGAGAGAGAGAGAGAGAGAAGAAACAGCACAACATTGTCAAACACATTCACCCCAAATTTTAGAAAACGCAAGCAAAGATACTTCTAGCATCTTTAATCACTGATGACACAGAGAAAAGATTGTTTGTCATATTGTAAAACATTTACACTTACAGCACTTCATCAAAAAAGATTCTCCTTCCTTCCTCACCCTGCTGCTCCAAGGACAGGGTTACGATCACCTCCAGAAACTCAAATTTTAAAGAAAAACGCCAAATTAAATGACAAATTTGAAGACACGATTAAATCTAAACCTAATACCTTGGCCACATCCAGAGGATTAACGATGATAGCAGAAACAAAAGCAGCACCAGCTGCAGACAAAACTCTCTCTCTAAAAGTCAATTCGGCATCAGGATGGCTCCGAGGCGGCGCACCCGAAGAGCCAGTGTGATCGTCATTGGGATTACTAGACGACGACATAGACGAAACCTTCCCCTCAAAATCAACCCTGGTAGCAGCCGCACCAATCCACGAAGGGAAGTACTGCTTCGAGCCCACCATTCGTCAATACAAAAATATCTAATTTTCGCGGGAAATCAACACAAACTCGATCGTTTTGACATATGGGAGGGTCGTCCGAGCTTCTGAGAGTAACGGTAAGAAACTTTGGCAGCTCCTCCGGAAGGTTCTGACTTGGTGGCGTGTTTTTCTTGTTCCTGGTTCGAGGGGTTTGGTATTCATATATATATATATATATGCATGGGAAATTGGCAGGCAAAGGCAGAGCATAAAGAGGAGAAATTAACATGAAACGAACGAAGAGATTCGTGGCGTACAGTTTAGGACGTGTCAAACAAATGTGCGTGGTCTGAGGCCGAAGGTAATTTTTGGGAGTTTTTTTTTTTTTTTTAATGTGGAATGTAATGGGATGAGATGATTAAAAGTCTTATATTATTATTTGAAAGAAATTTTTGAAAGAGAGTGGGATGCTTTGAGACGACTTTCCAAATCATCTCTTATCATGTTAAATTCATTTTTGTCAACCTTTTAGTTTGGGGGGTTGAAGATAAAATGATATGATATAAATAATATTTTTATAAAATTATCATTATCCTTCTCACATTATCTCACTCTTTCACTCACCCTCATCTTAAAATTTAAAAATATAATTATATCTAATTTAAATTTATTAATTTTATAATTATTCTTAAATAACAATTAAATAAAATTATTTAATCCATTTCATTTCACTTTTTTGTTGTAATATAATGATGTATCGCTAATTCATGAATGATACTTATTATTTTACTAATGTTATTTGTTAATTTAATATAATTAATTACACATTGAAAGTTTTAAAAATTTATGTATTTTATAAGTTCCCATTCGTTAATTGACATTTGAATGTTATTAAAATAAAAAATTTATATATGTAATAAATTTAATTCCAAACCGCTTGTTTCTTATAATATAATGATGTGTTGTTAATTTTAAATTTAGTTTTTCTATTTTATTAAAACTTGAATTGATTATTGTTAATCATAAATGGGTTATTGTCAATAGCTTATTATTTATATAGGATGAACAATAGTTTCATTAGACCTGTGTTATCAATTTTTTTAAATTGTTAAAACCTAAATGAATTATTGTTAATTTTGAATGAGTTATTATTAAAATCTAAATGAATGTTTGTTGATGAAAGACTAATACTTATATAGTTAAGTACATTCAACTAATTTTTCTAACCTATTAAAGCCTAAATAGATTATTTTTAATTTTGATTGAGTTGCTTTTAAAATCTAAATAGATACTTTTTGATAATTGATAGCACAAGTTTAATGAATATGTATTTATCCTATATAAATAATAAGTTATTCAGACTTCAACAACAACTTATTTATGATTAACTACAATCTGTCCGAGCTTTAACAAAATAGAAAAAATTAAATTTAAAATTAATAATATATTGTTATGTTATAAGAAACAAGTAGTTTAGAGCTAAATTTATTACTTTTATAAACATGTTATTTTAATGACATTTAAATGTCAATTAACAAATGAAAACTTATAAAATAATAAGAATTATTTAGAAATTAACAAAATATTATCATGTTATAACATGAAAGTGATATATAAACTTAAATTACTACATATATATTTTTTTACCATAAAAAATTAAATGAATTAGGTAGCTACCAAGCACCAAGTAGCTAAGGAGGACTTTAAAAAATTAATTTGAATTAATTGTCACTGAAGCTTTGATAGATCTATGATGGTGGCTCGACCAACAAAGAGGAGGTATTTGTGGCTGACGATAGTGGGAGTTTTTTTTGGTAAAAAAAAAATAAAATATGTAAGGAGTAATTTTATCTTTTCACTATAAATTATAATTGCATTTCAGTTTCTTAATTCTGCGATAAAACCATTTTGTTTTTAACTGATATTAAATCTCCTTAATAGTCCTTGAATAATATTTTTGCTTTAAAAATATAAACATTACAAGACAATCAAAAAAATTTGTTTATCATTGACTTTTTTTTTTTTTTTCAAAAGCAGGGTTACCTTAAATTGTCAGGACTCAGGAGTCAATCTACAGCGCAATGGGGTCCTTCGTTGGATAAAATTAGAGGTAAGATTTTTTGTGGGACAATAAGTCTCCACCATATGCAAAGGCAGGCATGGTTAATTAAATATACTGGGATGTTATTTATAAGTAATTTTTAATTTTTAATATATTTTATCAGGACAAGAAACATTTAAAAGTTCATTAACTCTCCTTAAAAATTTAATAAGTTTTCAGTTTTATTTTTATTAAATATATATTTTAATAATATTTTTTGGGCAAACATTTAATGAGAGTAAATTTAAAAATTTTATGAAAAAAATTAATTATATGTCCTATAAACATAACCAAAAAAACAATTCTCCATATCATATAAATAGGATCTTATTAGCTAAGGCTCCGCAAACATCCGGTTGTCTTATTCAACCCAATCCAATAAAAATATTGATCCAAAAGATTAAAGAAATCAAAAAGACCAAACTAACTTCTCAAGTTGGATTGGATAGGAGATCAAGCTCTCAGGCCACTTAGTCCAGTCTGATCCTATGAAATTAATTATTTTAATATAATTTTAATGATATTTAATATATTTGAATAGTTTGAAGTTTGAACATAACATTTCCTTCATTCATATTTCACCCTTATATTTAATATAATTTTAATTTAGTTTGCTGTTAAATTATTATTGTAATGTATATTAGACATGTTGATGAAATTTGTTGAATGCTGTTATTACTATTGTTCAATTTACAAATTTAAATAATGTGAATTGTAACTGAAATATTTTTTGTTGTTACTAGAGATTATTACAGACTTTTATGATTATAAGTATTTTTATTACTTTAATTGAGTTTATTAAGATAAAATGAATTGTTACATCTCATACAGGAAAAAAGCAAAAAAAAATTAAGTGAGTATTCTAATCTTATGGACTAAGTTCAGTTTTGTTAATTTTCGGGTTATAACTAGACTAGATAGAACTATGAGTTGCCTAATTCAGTCCTTTTTCATGAAAGAAACCAGATTTTATGTTAAGTTAAAGTTCAATTTTATTTAGTCTTTTGTGCAGTTTTATTACTAGTTATTATTGGAGTACTAGAGCAACTGAGTTGCGCTTGTCAAGAGGATTTTTTTTTTTTGGCTTTCGCATCCTATATCCTAAAACATTTGAGTATGTTGAGTTCATTGTCGCCCAATCTACTCTAGAGTAAGTCAGATCCTTATTTAGGTGGGGTGTTCTTTGAAGAGATTTTGTGGATATCATTGGCAAAACATACTTTGCATGCAGTTACACTGTTACATATCCCGAGACTCAAACTTGAAATCTCAAATTAAGGTGTCCAAGTTCTTGACCACTAAGCGTTCGTTGGTAAAATTTAAAAATATCTTTCATTAATAAAAGAAAAGGAGGTAAAGAAAATTTATTTATGAAATGAGATAATGGAGGTAATATTAAAAGAATTATAATTAATGAAATTTTATTTTTAAAAACATCTAATATTTTGAGACATTAAAATTACATAAAAAAATATTTTATAAAATAGGAGGGAAAGAATATGTTCAACTTGACAATCTTGAGAGGGACGCGGTGGTGAAATACTGAAATATATAGTATACTCAAATAAATCGCCAATTGAGTAAATTTATAATTGCTGTGTGATTTTTTTTCGTTTTTTTCATATACGAACTTGTAAACAGGAGACGGTCTCTTCAGAAAAAGCAAGAATAATGGCCCAATGTCGACACGGTCTTGTGTATTTTTTTAAGTGACAATTTATGATGGCCACACCATCCCACTTTTTATTTAAAATTAAGCTTTGCTTTGTATTCAAATTTTGCATATCAGTACAAAGTGGCATAAGTGACATTCTTGTGACAGCGGCTGCAAATGTTTCGACATTTTCCTACCCAAAAAAAAAAAAAAAAGTGTATGGACTTTCAAGACAAAAAATCATATCATCAATATTATTCTCACAGGGGGATGTGATTCCATGCTTCTTCTCCTTCTTTTAATGGAAAACCACCTAATCTTTTCTCTTTCAAATTATTCTCAACCATTTCTTTAGTAATTAAAGCTAATATCTATCATTCATTTATATATATTGAAATATAAAAAGCTAATTGATGAATTTGCTACAAATACAATGATATAAACCAGAAAATAAATAACAACTTCATAGCGTTTGAACATGCATGAACAAAACTAAATACTGTATTTCTCAAGATGTTACGTTAACTAGCTTACACCATGCTATTCCATGTCTTCATCTCTCTCCTACACTTGTGAATTTTAGGACTCTCTCCTGATTAACTAATTTACATAGATCAAGGAGATTTATGCATGTTGATTTTTTAAAAAAAAAAACAGTTTGCTATTTTTTTTTAAAAAAATACCCATCATTTTAATCATTTATGTTAGAGCATTATCAACATAACTTATACATACATCATAAAAAGAAAAAAAGAAATCTAACTGTAGAGATAATTTTGGAAAAAAAAAAAAGATCATAGATTAAAGAGATTGAAGTTTTACCTTTAGAACAAAACAACTCCTCTAAACTAACTCCTACGTTAATATTTAACATGGAAAGGAATGTTTTTTGTGAAATTGATTAAGAGTGAAAACATAAAAAGGAGTTTGAATTTGAGTTTTGAGAATGCAGCAGCATTGATGGTAGCAAGAACTTTAATCTAACAAGATCTCATCCTGACTCAATTCAATTTAGTTTGAGCCTCGTTGAAATCTCCTAAACCTGACATAGGGGGATACGCATAATACTGAGTGTTCTGGGAAGGAGAAGATGGAAGATGGAAGATGTAACTTGTTAGTAGGAAGAAGGAAGCGGCGTGTATAAAGAATGGAAGGCATTGGGAGGAAGGATTGGAAAATGAAATGGGAATGATTCAAAGAAAGAGGCACAAAGCAAGCAGGGAGGCAGGGACAACACTCAGCTCAGAGGCTGCACCAAAGTAAAGACACACAGATATCATATCCCCAAAAAGAAAAAGATATCACTCCATACAGTAGCTCGCAGTAGGAATTCTCCTTTGTTTGAACCACTTTTTTCATACCTCTTCCTTCCCTGCACCTGCATGCCTCCATTCTGCCATCCTGTTTTTCATTTCTCTCTCTGTTTCCCGCAACACAACCACAGCATTTAATTAAAAGTCTCTGCTCTCACGCTGCCTCTGCCTCCGCTAATTGACCCCTTGTGCCCTCTATATTTGGTCACACCACACAAATACTCTCTAATACTACAACATCTCTTTGAATCCCTAGGGCTCAAAATCCAATGACCTCTTCACCTTTTCATTACATTTTCTTGTTTCTCTCGCTCAACTTCTTTTTTTTTTTTTTGAATTAAAATAACATGTATTATAAACAAGATCAAACCCTCGACCTCCCATTACATGAGAGCTTCATGTCACTAGGTTATGAAGTCATTGGACTCACTCACCCTTTGGTCACAGCATTTGGCTTAATTCACTTGACTCCTCGTAGGCTTTGAATTATTCATAAGACAAATGCTGTTCATTTGCGGATCACTTGAGTGCTGTGAGGACAATGCATACACAATTTGCAATAAAAATTTCATATCAGTGTACATACGGCTTTTAGAATAATTTGGCAGGAAATGGCGAAAGAGAGATTGTGGGTCCAAGTGAGATTGGTATGGCTCTCTCGCACAATACACACAGCCTTTATTATGTACTCTGGAGGGTACCCCCTGCCCTACTATACCTGCCCAATTTCTTTGTCTTTTTATAAAGATCATGCCCATCCTGTCGCTCTTGCTACCAGACTTTCTCTTTCTTATTTTTAAATTAAAAAAAGTCATTTTCAAATACTCGCAAGAATGTGTAGTGTATTTTGATTTAGATTTGATGTTGTGGGATTTATCCCCAAAAAGATATTTATACGTTAAGATCTTTATCATAGAATTAGCTAGATTTGGTGAAAGATTAAAGAAAGATACATACAATGTAATCTGACATGCATGTGCAAATCTGGATGAACAGTTACTTTAGGGGAGGGACAGAGGAAATCTCAAGAGGGACAAGCTGATACCTCTTTGCCTTTTTAATTATGGCTTTAGAATAATGCCCACCTTCACTTCCATTATTCAAATTATGCAAAGAACCAAAAGGGTTGGGGAGGGGGGGGCTTGCTTATCTTCAAAAGAATGGCTGGCCACCACAAATACCAAAGTCAGTATCTTAAGAAAGTGACGCGAACCAGAGATTCAATTCCAAAACCCATGGCTCCTAATAAACCACTACGCCTTTCAAAGCACCCACATTTAGCGATAAGCAAAACTACGTCGACTTTGTCACTAATAAAAAACGACCATCATTATTCTCAGATAGAATAGAAGATGCAAGATAGATTCTCTTTTGTTTTTCAGCAATATACCCCAGAGCGTCAAATCTGAGACGCAACTTCAAATGCTACGAGCGAGCCTGTAAACAAATATCTCACCTACTCATGAAATTTCGCTACACGACACAAGCATTACATTTTGGATTCTTCATAGATTTTGGTTAATAAATAAATAAATATCTACAAATACGCGAACTGGATTCAATGGCTTTCGTTCCTTAGCTTACGCTTTACACCAACTTCTAAAATATACATGGTAATTTTTATCAGCGTAGACATGGATATTGAACAAGATGTTTAACCTCCCGTTCTTTGCAGAGAAGGCCAAAACTGAAAATCAAGCATTAAAAGGCTCAAAAAAGATTATCCCGAACTCCATTGCAGAACAAACATTGAAAAAGCACTAGAGTCATGCTAATAAATTCACATGATCTATCTCTTTACTAAACACGATAAGAAAGCGGTATATCTTCATGGAAGAGGGCCAAAACTGAATCTAAGCATCCAAACACTCTAAGATTACCCTGAACTGATCCATTACAGAAAATTTGGCAGAAACTAAAGTCGTACACTAGCTAGCTGTTTACACACTTCAAAAAGCCCTAAATCACACCTCAAACAGAACATCACTAACCAGTACGATTTTCTCCGGAATTTTGTGCGCGCTCAACCTTCCATCAGCTTGATTGATCGAGCCCAGTTTGGATGTCTCATTTCAGAGGCAAAGGATCCTGAAAGTAATTATCTACGACCCACTTGGAAGATTCAAAATCATCATCGAGTTGAAAGGGAATGTCCCTCAAAATCTCACTAGAAATCAGTTGAGGCACACTGGATTCAACAAACAACGGCTGGCTCAGAGGAGTTTCGTAATCCGTATAACAATAGGACACGAATTCAGGTGATGAATCTGGGAACAAGAACTTTTCTTCTTCTTCTCTGGATTCCTGGATGCCTGCCCACCCTGTACGCTCAAAGGACCCTCTCCCACTGTATCTGAGAACAGAAGTCGGCGAGGAAGAAGACGACGACAGTAAATCTCGAGACTCTTTGCTTGAATCGTAGACACACTCATTTTCCAACCACTTGTTCTTCTTCTTCAGAGGACATTTCACTGACCCTTGGGACGCGTCATTACTCAATGGCAGCACGAGAGGTTGGTGTTTCTCGGGCGGTTTGATTAAATTAGTAAGAGCGTCGGCTCCTCTTAGACGAATGGCTTCTATGTCGTACATCAAAGCCGCTTCCTCTGCCGTGTCGAACGTGCCAAGCCACTTCCGAGCTCGCAGAAACGGGTCCCGAATCTCGGCTGCCCACCGCCCCCACAGTCTCTGCCTGACGCCGCGAAACTTCTTCCCGTTGGGAAGGCCCTGTTTTCTTCGGGGTATTGCAGGACGTTTCTCCCTCTTCTGCTTCGACTTCTCCTTCAAAATGGGTCTGGAATCACCGTTAACTTCTCTGCTAGCTGTGAAACTCGAGAAATCTTCGATTCTGATCTCATGGACAAACTTCTTCGGCGGGCGAGGAAATCGGTGGTCTCTCTCGTCTTCATCACTGGAAGAATCAGTAGCATAGTTGTCAGCTACAGAAATCCGAACGACTCTTGGTTCCCCCCCAGTAAAGAACGAGTTTCTCACAAGCTTGCTTGTGATGGTTTTCTGCCCAGAGAATTCGGTTCCCCTCATTTCTGTGAGAAGCAAGAGAGCTGAAGGTCAATCGCACATTACCAATGGGCAATGGCCGAAAGAGCTTTTTTGGGTTGCTGAAACGGAGTGAGAGTGTAGAGTCAAAAGCGAAGAATGGCAGATATTATATATTATATACAGTAAGATATTACAGGCCGGATTTCCTAAAATGACAAAGCCAACATTTAATTTGTTTTTACTTTTTAATAATTAGGTTAATTAAGGAAATAACAATGTTTGATTTGAATTTTTTTTTTTTTTAGGTGTTGTTCGGGAAAGAATCTTGGCAGGAGGGACAGGGGTACGCGCAGACTCCGGGGAGCGAAAGACAACCATACGACTCGCCGCATTTATAAACAAAACCGTTTCGTTACGCCGGTGCGGCCATTCATAGGCGCCACAAAAATTCCATAACTTCCAGTACTTTAATTCACATCGGCCAAAAAAATATTTTAATTCACATTTTTTATCAGGTACTGGTACTAGCAATTGATTAATAATAATCGGAATAATCAAACTAAATTTTACTAAAAATAAAAAGCGTTGAATGTGCTCCCTTCAATTTATGATTAACCAGTAACAACATTTAAAAACAAAATATTCTTGAATCATGATATAATATATTTTTTATAAATTTTATTAGTTTAAAATATAAAGTGTTGGATAATTTTTGTATTTATTTTTTAATTATACTTCTATTCTACCTATTACTCTTTTTTTAAACAATCATGTATTAAAATTGCAATTACTATTATTAAAGCTTTTATATAAGGTATCTAATTAAGTATAAATGAAGAGATATTGATATTTTAAAAAATTTAAAATTTCAACAAACTGTTATTTGTAAATTATTAATTAATTAACTATAATTTATATTATAACTTGAAGAAAGAATTAATATTATGAAAATATAATCAAATTTATTTCAGTATTTCATAAAAAATATAAGATTTTTTTTAAAAAAGTGAATGTTAAAAATATAAAATATTTTAATATTTTAATAGTGATCATTATTTTTTAAAAAAATTCTTAATAAATAAATTATTTTATATTTATTTTAAAATAAAATAAATAATTATTTTAATAAAGAGTAAAATTTGATTAAAAATATAAATGAAAGAGCATATTTTTGGAAGCCACCTTGACGTCAAAAAGAGGTTTGAGCACAGATATAATAAGTTGTTATGATATCAGGCGGGCTTGCATTGCTTCGATACGCACAGGCATGGAATGGAGACAACGGACACTTTTTGGCAAAACGGAAATGACACGTGGCGAAATAGGATTGGTGTGAGAGGAGGACTCCCTGGGTACGGATGCCTAGACACATGAGGTGGGACCACTGTCGTTCGTATTTGCTGGTGACATGATTTAATCACAGTCATGTCAGACATGGGTAATCCTCTGACTGCCCCGGCAATAATAAACTATTTTTTTATATATATTTTCACAACTATTTAGGATCTAAGGGTCGACATTCATGAATTACTTGTATTGTTTACCAGTTGGTGGCTGGGATATCAGGAAAAATAAGCGGAAAAAAAATCTGACATTTCCCCATATTTTTGGTGAAATTGTTTACCATGTCTTCCCTTTTTTCGAAAAATAAAAAATGGAAAATGACATGAAAATCGTTATAAAATATGAGTAACAACTAATTCCGTGAATTATGTAACTCTTCTCATGTCTTTTGAAATCTTTCTAGTATAAATATCTTTTATGAAATGATTATATGTCCCCAATTTAAAATAAAAAAGAAATAAATCTATGATTAAAAAATTTATAAAACGTAACTTGTTATTTATTATCCAATTTTAGTTATTATCATAGTTATTATTTAAATTAAAATAATTATTTATATTTATAATACAATGATTTAAAAAAATTGTAAATGAAAAGTTGTGATTTTTTATCTCATTTTAATCATTGTTAGAAGAAAATTAATTATCATTTAAATTAAAGCAGTCATTGAAAGGACATTAATGTAAGAAATATCTTAAAAAATTTAAAAAGAATTATCACATTTCACATAATTTTATTGTCATTTGTATGTTTTGGAGAATTTTTCTATCATTTTCAAAAAGAAAAAAAATTAACATGATAGGTAGAGAATGAACATGGTCCTTCTCCTTGGCATTAATATATAGGGTAAAGTTACAAAAGAAGAGTCACATCATATTTTTGTTCAAGTGTGTGGCTTATGGTTTTCCATTCTTTTCATGTGACCCTTCGTATTTCTGTTCCCTTTTTTTGGTTAGCCAAACATCTTTTGTTAAAGAAAAAATAATTAAGGAAGAATTATATTAAATAACTCAATATAGAGTGAAGTAATATTTAATTTAAAGTTACAAAAATAGTTTAATTATTTAGAAGGATGAAGAGGCCAAAAACAAAAGTCAACAAAACCATGTTACCTATTCTCTCTTTTAAGGTTTAAACATATTAAGGCAAAAGGATATTTGCAGTACAAAAATGTGATAAAGGGTATTTTGAGTCATCATATTTTCTGTTTTGGTCACGGAGCATAATTAAAATTTTAATAAATTTTTATTGTGGAACCTCATACTTTGAACAAAGCTTAATGTGAGTTGTAGAATTTATAATTTATGAATAATACAGCTTCTTATCAAGTAAAGAGATATTCTAATAGAAATTGTTATGTTTGTTTAAATGTGAGGTCTTGAATTTAAATATATATGAATGCAAATTTGGAAGAACCACAACTAATTGAGTCTGATAATACTTAGACATGACCCGATCAAATAATCATATAAAAATGTATAAATATATGAAAATATTTCCATATAATTTTTTATAATAGTCAAAATATAGATATTTAAGATTTACAAGGTTTTAATCTTGAGCACCAACTCTATATCATCACATGAGCAAATCATTGGTGTCTTTGAGACAAAGTTCTAGGCTTCTAGCTAGCATAGTACTTGGTGAAAAGAAGATTAAAAATGCAGCAACAATCTAAAAAAGATTTGTAGTCTTAGCATCAAGGTATGATTTTAGCCTTTTAGGCTATTAAACTTGTTGTAAACAAGATAAATACTTAAAAAGCATGCAAGTAGTGTCGTGTACCCAAGGTTTTTTCGTTGAAAAGACAAAAGGAGTCCTTTTTGAACTTCCATCTTCGTTTTGTTAGATCATGGGAAAGCTCAGTAACATGAGGTTTGAGTTACTAGTCGCCCATTCTTTTTTGGACATGTTAATTGAAGTTGAATTGCTACTTGTGCATCCTAGAGAGTGTCATATAGTATTAGTAAGTGGCATTATTTATAATATGTGAAAAATATGATTTAACATAGACTTATAAAATATATAGACTCAGTCTTTTGAGTGTACTTATTAAGGGTGGATACCAAGTTGGTTGTATTCCAAATCACTCTTGCATGATCCACACTTACTGAAAGATTTTTTTAAAAATCTATTTGTTAACTCTTTTTTTTAAAAAAAAAATTAGAAGGGTATGCACTAACAACCTGAAAGCACATGCAGGATCGAATCCAAAAATAAATGGAATCTATCATTTGAAAGAAACCAAAATTGAATGGAATCTATCACCAAAATGCGTTTGGAATTTAGATTGTCTTGTGAGTTATAGAACGGCCAACATATATACTTTCCTTCATGCTTTGATGTCTACAATTGAAATAGGATTGGAGAAAAAAAAATTATATAACTTTTAGAAAAAATTAATCATTTAGTTTTTATAATTTTAACCTAATTATAATTCAGTCTTTTAACTTTGACTCTTTATAACTCAATTCCTAAAATTTTGACTTGGTTGTAAATAAATTTTTAAACTTTATCTTTTGCAATTTAATCTCTAAAATTTTAACATTTTAAATATTGATCTTTATATTTTAAAAAATAAATTTATAAGGATAAAAAATATTTTGAGCTTTTAATATTTATAATATTGATAAAGATTAAAAGCATTTAATAATTTAAAATATTTTGAATTTTTATAATTTCATTTTTTAAAACATATGGATTAATATTTAAGAGGTTGAAACTTCAGAGACTAAATTGCAAGAGGCAAAATTTAAGGACTAATTTACAACCGAGTCAAAACTTCAGAAATTGAGTTATAACAAGTTAAAATTTAAAAACTGAGTTAAAACTAAGTCAAAACTATAAGGATTAAATGATTAATTTTTTCTAACTTTTACTATAGTACTTTATGATAACTATGTAATTATTATAAATAATTATATATTTATTCAATTATATTGTGCCATTTTATATTATTATTTCAAGTTTCAATTACATATTTACTCACCTAATTATAGTTATATTTATAGGACAAAGTTCTAAGGCCTCATTTGGTCCTAAATTTATGATAAAGATGTAGTAGTTAATTTTTTTTTTCAACAATGCCCCTCCTTATTTGTATCAAGTTATAATTCATAGATAAATTTTATTGTGACCATTAATTTTAATGAAAGGAAAAATTGAAAAGATAAGCATTTTTTTATAAATTTAAAAATATTAATTACTCTTCCTTAAAAATGGTGAAATTGGTCAATTTTCTTATATAATTAGAATAGGAGGGAGTATAATTTATGATATAAAATTTCTAATAAATTATACTATTTAAAAAAATAATTAAAGTGTATTTTTCCTTATACTTTTCTTTACAAAGCATTAGGCACCTTATATTAATAAGTTAGGTATTTTTTTCTCTAAATTATATTTTAGAGGAGTGAAAATCTCTCCCTGCTATTGATTTGTTAATGAAGGATAATTTTTGCTCCTATAAAAAATGATTTAAAAAAAAATATCTCACTTATTATTATAAGGTGCCTAATACTCCTTGAAAGAAAATATAGAGAAAAAATATATTTTAAATCTAATAATAATAACAATAATATTTTTAAATAAATTATAAAAGATGAAATTATAAGAAAATTAATAATGATTAAGTCCTTTAAATTTATAGATTCTTCTTTATAATTTTTTTGGTCAATTGATGGTATTCTTTCAAAATATTATATTGTCCAAATTTAATATTTTGATATTTTTTAACTTTATATTACAAAGAAGGAAATGAACATCCAAAATAAACTGTTAAAATTAATATTATATTATTAACTTTACAACTTATTTTTTTTAATTTTAAAACTGAAAACATATTACAATATAAGAAAATGTCAATTAAAAATAAATGACAATTCAATTTTATATATTCATTATTTAATAAAAAATTATAAAAAATGATCTAAAAATTTTTAAAAACTTAACCGATATGAATTTTATTAATAAATAATAATATTTTAATAATATTTATTAAATTTTATTTTAATGAAACTTAAATTATTTAGTGTTTTTAAAAAAATTAAAAATAAATTAATATAAAAAAATATACCATGTTAGGAAAAAGTAACAGTTGATAAATTAATAGACGAGATTTTTATCTATTACAACTGCAATTATGTAAAATAATAATAATAATTTTAAAATTAAACCAAGACCGTTAAAATATTCTGCACCACCCAAATATATAAAAATATACATAATAATAATTTTATCAAAAATTATGTAAAAGTTAAATACATACATATAATATATATATATATATAGTTCTCATTTATATATTTTCATATGAAGTTATAACAATTTTATCAAAGATTACATCAGAACCAATTAAAAACTTTAATCAAATGGCAATGAAAATAAAAGAAGAAAAAATAGACTAAGAGTAATGGAAAAGAAAATACTACCCATGATCCTTCCAGCTAATGTCATATGAAACGCATTTATTACTTGTTAGCGCTTTAAAACTCTCGCTTCAAATTCTTGCAACAATGTTAAAACCAAAAAAAAAAAAAAATCCAAAGAAAGATAAATACAACCGTGTATTGAAAATTCCATCTTCAGCTCTCAGTAAGGCGCAACAGCAAGGAGACAAAGCAGTACAGTTGTGATTTTGGCCATAAAGCAGTACAGCTGTTAATATGAAACTACAATCAGCAGCGAATCTACATAGCACGTGGGGGAACATTATCATCAGCAACAGAAATTTCACAGCACCACAGACGAAATTCATACAGACAAACTAAAGCTTATATAAGTTTTCACAGATGAGGCAAAATGTAAGAACCTATCCTCAAATTGTCTACAGCATAATGCAGATGATAGATCGTTAGATTATACAATTACACTTTTAACAATAAATGGAAGGAAAAACTCTGACGCCTTCCAATATGTTAGCCCATGGCATACTTCTGAGTCCAGCTCCTGGCAGTGGTCTCATACTTGGCCCTGTCTGTCTTGTACATATGAGCAATTTCTGGCACCAGGGGATCATCTGGGTTTGGATCCGTCAAGAGGGAGCAAATGGAGAGCAAGACCTGAAAAGGGAAACACAAACCCTTCCCACCCACTTAAAAAACAGCAATGGTTCAACACAGATGAGGATCGTAGCTATGCATTCCAATTCAAATGTCCTTTTTTTTTTTTCAAACAAACAAAAAAATATATACATTAGGAGGCATGACCCTTTGACCTCTATTCACATCCCACCCCACTTTGACTATCTTAGCCTCAAGTCACTGGCTCATGTGGCCCAGATGTGTTCCTTTTAAATCTAAACAATGGCAATATAGGAAGGATCACAATAGCACCGCAAAATTGTGGCACCCAATAATCATAGCGTAATAGGAAATCATGAACTGTTAATTAGATGGCCAGAAGTCAACGGATAGCATTAACTCACACCTAGGAGGCTTATTACAATCTGTATCACCATAATTGGACATCTGAGAAGTAAGATTGACAAACAAGTGTACCAGATGCAATGTAGTTAACTCCTAGGTCATCATCAAAATAGCACACTGTGATTTAAGCATCATCAATATGGTACATAAAATTTTCCCAGAAGAAGTGCCATGCATCAATTGTTTATGTTATAAAGTATGGTGTTAGAACCTTAGATATCGTCAAAGCAGGGCTCCACTGCTCCTTTAAGATATCGAGACAAATACTACCATTGCTGTTGATATTTGGGTGAAAAACTTTGGTTCTGAATGCAACCTGCAAGGACAAAGCGAAACAAACAGAAAAAGAATTAAAATCCGAACAAAGTGCACGTCCTTTAAAAAAAAAAAAAAGTTTACTGTGAAGCCAGATCCAATAATGTAAAAGCAAGCTGTAAAGAAGCTCTCATCCATTTCCAGAGTGTAGAAGAGGGTTCAGAGGATAAAGGCCCATGGAAACTACACTATGACTGAGACATTATAAAGTCTTAAATTCCAAGTGAAAAGAGCTAATTGAATTAACTAAGATATTAGACATAAAAATAAAACTTTTCAGTTGTCTGTGTTGAGTAATCTGTTAGGATAGAAATCTTAAAGAATTGAATGTTCCTAATTATCTAGGAGTCAAAGATTCTGTCACTGCTTAGGAATCTATCAACCATCTTTTGTAATTAAACTATTGTAGTTAAAATTGATTCTTGGGAGTTGCCTCTATTTTCACAGTAACATAAATAAGAGATGAGAGAGGCTGTCATAAACGAGTCTTTCCATTCATTCCACTTCCGTCTTCATCGTGAAGTTTACAGTTTTTTCTTTCTTTTAAATGACAATAGAAGAAGGATTCTTTTGCCTTTTTTTTTTTGGTAATAGTGGTATAGTTATGCAAAGATCTGCCATTCACTTCACTTGCCAATATTTGCCAAGGTCCAAGGATCACTCATAAGGCAATTTATGTGTTTATGGCACATGTTTTTATTAATCATAGCATAATACATGCACCTTGATGCAAAATATCTACTTGAATTTACCAAACACAATTTCATGATTTCATCAGCTTCAAATCTATGAGAAATGTATAATCTTTTCATTAAGATCAGGGTATGGCATACACTTAACTAAGTCATTAGAAACTGCAGTATATTAAATATTCAAATCATAGAATTTGCATTGATATGTAGCCACGGACATACAAGAAAGTCACGAGGGTGTGAGTTAGCATTTATCACCAGGAGTAATCCATCATTTCCCATTAACATTTCAATCAAGACACTCACGTAAAGAACAGGGAAAAATGAACTATTAAGCATATAGTAAAAGAAGGATGAAACGGAAAACGAAGTATAGAGAAACACAAGTGCGCAATACAATAGTCATACAAATAGCAAATATAATCCTTCCAAATAAAGGTTTCATAGAATAAAATAATCTACATCCACTGATCCCAAGCACATCAGATGCAAACTGTTAAGCTTCTATTTTTAAGGATCAAGGTAATACCTTAGGTGGCTTGAATGGGTAATCAGGAGGAAAATGAATGGTGACGAGAAAAACACCACCAGCATAGGGGCTATCAGGGGGGCCCATTATCGTTGCTTGCCAGTGAAACATATCCTCTGCTACAGGGCCTGAGCAAGTGATGAACAAAACATGGTACAATGAAATTAACATCAGTAAAATATATTATAACAGATACAAGAAAGCGCTTCAAATAAAGTTTTCAAGTTTTAGCATTGAAACACGAACTTTAATCTGCTTGTTTGTTAAAACTCAGAAATGCAATGTTGTTTCAATGATAATTAGTGTGAACGCTAGTCCTATCCAAGCCCTATCTATCTGTATAGCAAATCAAAGAAAAATATGTTTAAATTGAATAATAATATTTTCAAAGCTACTAGATTCAATCTGCGAGAATCCTCGAGCCCAACAGCTACGATCAAACGCAGGAATTCGGCGTTTAATTAAAAAAAAAAAAGGTTGTGAAAAAATATGTCAGCTAATCACAACTTCAACATCTCTATCGTCAATTATCTTCGGCAAAACTATTCAACGCTTAAGAAAATGACCCACAAAATCCCGCTTTTTGACAAAAACCTTATAAAAGCCATTACAAGGGTTGTGAAATTTACAAGCCATCATCACATCATGCTTCATTGATAGATTATATATCGAGATTTGCACGCGCGCGCACACACACACACCCCTACCAAAACAAGTAATATTGTCAAATCAGAATCACAAAATAAAAAAAAATCAATAAATAAACAAAACAAATAGACCCACATACATATAATTTCCAGAAACCACAGATCGGATCTCAGAGGAACCCTAACGACTACTGAAAAAAGAGAAACAACAAAAAAAGGGCTAAACAAGGGGGATTTGGTAGAAACGGATTGATACCAGCACTGCAAGAGGTAGGAGGGTCTTTCTGGAGGTCCTTGAGCTCCTTCAAGATCCGTTTGGAAGCCATGAGAGTAGTTCTGCCGAAGAACTGAAGTCTTCGTTTCGATCTAAAGACGGGGATGAAGAACGAGAAAAAAGGGTTCCTTTCTGAAATAGACGAACGAGTGAGAGAAGCCAACTTGAAGAAATGACGACGGAAAAGGAAGCGATTAATGTTTCGCATATGATAAAATTGAGGTCCCTTTCCACTTTTACGAATCGTGGTTGTGAGTAGCTTGATCCAACTTTCTAGGCGAAAATTAAATTGTGAGTCCTTATAATTTACAACTTTTTTAAAAAAGCCTCTATAGTTAAAAAAAAAAAAAAAAACTTAAGCAGTAGTACCTTTTACAATTTAACGCGGGAGCCCAGCTTATCCTGACAAATAATCTATTAGCTCAGTTCTTTTGGCCCCGCCAAACAATCTATTAGCATAAGTTGGTCCATATTATTTGTAAAATTTTAATAACCTATCCTTTGTTAGTCCACATCTATCAAATATCAATTAATCAACTCTATCATTCATAGCTTGTAAAATGCATCTGATTGATTCTAACTGGTTAAAACATCATTAGTCCATTTTCTAATTTTCTTTATCTTTATTGGTCAGTTTTAATTAATACTTTGTTTAAACCTGAGTTAACCCATTTTACGTTCAAACTATGGGTTTATTGTGTTCACATTATGTAAATACAATCATTCCCATACCTGTATTTTCTCCTACCAAAGGAACTAAAGCGTGCCTTTATTTGTTATGATTTTTCTCCTTTTTAGATAAATGCAATGTTTACATTTTCAATTTTCAGTCACGTCTTCCCGATATCTTTATCAAAGATAAAAATCATTTCATCTGCCTGTTCTCATTTCTCCCTTTCTCAATCGATCCTCATCTTTCTCCTCTGGTCTCTGTGAAGGTGATTCTCTCACTTTTATTTCAATCTTGCAATTTTTGTGTTCATGGAATATGAATTTTGTATGAATGTTATTTCTTCATTGTGTTATTCGTTCCTTATTTCCCTTCATTTGTTGTAGATGTCGTTGACTACAGTTTACAAACTAAATGAACTTCGAGAGGGCTCCCATGCTGCTGATATTTTCACATTATCGAGGTCTTCTAGGTTAATGACTCTGGGTTTGCGTCAGTCTTCATGTCCCTTTGTGCTGTTGTGATGGATGATGACGTGTATGACCTGGTAATTTTATTTTCTGCTGTTCACTTTCCTCTTTTTTTTTTTTTTTTTGTTCACTATCGCATTCTTTTACTCTTGAATAAATCATGAATTATGATTTCGATTAACAAGACTAAACCATTTAATATGTTTGCTTAAACGCATTTAAAAATTCAGTTTCATTGTTCAAAATTGTAATATCATTTGTTGATTGTGAAGTAATTGCTTCATTAAGCTGAGATCAACATATGAAAGCAACACCCATGGTACAATTGTATCAAGTTCTACGTTAGCCAATAAAGACAATGAGGTTATTGGCTTAAGTAGTAGGTCTTGAAGGAGAAAAGGCGAGTTCTCCATGACATCTCTAATGGTAAGCATATTAGATAGTATTACAACAGTACTTTATATATCAATTGTAACAATTAAATTAACATTAATTGTGTGTAGTGACTGATTAGTCTCCTGGGAATGTCATCCAAGGATCTAATTTAAGAAATTCTGCCAAACCTACATGTGAAAGTCCATTTTCTAGGGAAGAGGAAGAAAACTTCTCATGCAGATACAATTAACTTAGCTTTTAACTTGGAAAAGACCTGTGAGTTTGTAACAATTCTAGGTATTTTTTTAGTAGAATTTAAATCAGTGCTTGCTCTCCTTTTTTTATCTTACAATATACTTCACAGGCACCCAAAATTCTGATGGTGTTCAAGACTTTTCAAGTTAAGTAGAATCCTTCACTGAGGATCATGAAGCCGATACAAGATTCAAGGTCTGCAGTAATATCTCTCATGTAGTTAATACTATTTCTTGCATCTTCCAACTTTTAAATTATCATCATATTTTTAGGTGAATTAAAAATCCATTCCTAACTCCTTCATTTCAAAATATCTGGATGATCGAGATCCAATTTACCAATGTCAACGTTGTCATACTATCATGTGGCTAGCAAAAAGATTAAAATGGGTTTCGGCTCCCCAAGCTCCAGTTTTTTTTCATTTTATTGTTGTCATCGAAAGATAAAGATTCCAAACTTTAAACTATACCCCTCAAATTGGAAGAATTATTTTTTTGATAAAGAAAGTATTAACAGAAACTTTTCTAAGTGACATCCATTCTTATAATGATATATTTTTATTAGAAAAGGAATTATGTTACAATTATTTTCTCCCACTTTATAATTTATTCCATATCTTATCAAGTTTGTTAACGCTAATTCAATTAAGGCAACCGTTAAACACACAATATCATTAAAAAAATATGTGTTATGCTTCATTCTCATTTGTTCCTTTTTCATTCAAATGTGAGTATTACAGTTGTTTTGTTCATGCATCACACTAATTAACTAATATGCGATGTGACAAGCTAATGCTAATGTGGGTGCCATCAAATGCAAAGAAAATAAATCCATGTTATTAGATTACACGGAGTGGTCTAAGTCTTTAAACTCTATTCCTTGGCATCTATTTGCCTTGGTTTTCAAGTGATGGTGGTATAATAGATGATGACAGCAATCCATTGAGAAGAAAAATACCTGGTCTTTGAACATAGTTGCTTCACCATTGAGTTGCTTGAAAACAAGTTCCTAATTAGAGCTAGTAATGGCTCAACCTGCCATGCTACAAAAAAAGAAAAAAATGGATTGGGTTAAAAAAATAAATTCATTTCTATGCAGGGGTGGTTTTGGCCCGCCTCACATAACTTGAACTCTTTGGTTAACAAGTTGGCCTACTTATATTTTTTTTTAAAAAAAAAGAAAGACAAAAATCATAACACCGTTCTTTCAATTCTCAAACCCTCATCATTATTCAAATTACATGCTTATTACCTAATGTTGTTTTTACTTGTCACATTTAATTAGCTGAGATAGTTATAAATCCATGATCAATCAAGCGCATTAGTGTAACATGCACTCAACCAAAGACTTCTTTACAATTTAATTTGAGTAAGATATCTTTAAGTAGGCACAAGCTATATAGTCATCTACTTTTTAAAAAAAAAAATTATGAGTTTTTAACCTATCAAGTTGTGGAAAAATTCTAACTTTATTTTTCTTTATATTGTCTTTGCTATTACATTTTACTTTAATGAATTTATAATTTCTCACCTAGGAAAAAATATAAAGGTTAGCCTACTAACCTTTACTCAAAATAATGTCAAATTTAATTTTACTTCATAGATTTCTGCATATTAATTATATTTTCATGTTTAACTGTGTGATACTAAAATTAATGATAAATAAAACTTCTAACATTATGATGAATTTGTAATTTTTAAAATTAAAAATTTTATATAAAAAATATTTTACATTAACTAATCCACCGTGGGTTGGTAGGAATATAACTCATATAAGATGTGAGTTATAAACTCACCCCATCAAGATTATAACCTAACTTGTGGTTTGTGAGCTTACTTATATTACCAGCTGTATGATCCTAATCAAATCACTAACCTTTAAAATGTGGTGTGAAATTGCTGTGCATCTTAAAATAAATAATAACCTAATTAATTAAAGTGTTGGTTATCCAACAAGAAGGCCAAAAGAAAAAAGACCCTAGTGTCTTTGAATTTTTTTTTTCTTTCTTGATCTTCTGTAATATTATAATAATTCATTTCAAGTGATGATTAGCTTGCTCTTCACGTGTCTATTTAGTTGGAATTCTTTTTTCTTGTCTTTTTGTTAATGTTATCTTGAGATATATTTTCTTAAAAACAAGATATTGAGTAAGTTTTTGGCTTGTAAAAAACTACTCCCGTTGGTTTAAATTATAAAACATTTTCAACCACTTTATTGAAATAAAAAATGATAATTAACTCATTAAATATGTTTTAAAATTAAAAAAAATTAACTTTACCTTTATTAAACATAAAAAGAGAAAGACACATAGTATATGATGAGCCATAAAATTAAATATATGACAAGGGTAAAATTAAAAGATGATAATAAATAACTTTCTATGTGTCTTATAATAAGAATTAAAGAAGAGTATTCTACTATCTATCATAAGATTTCAACTTCATTTTTACCTAACAGATGAAACTCACCTCCATTACATTGGCATACCAGTGGAATATAAGTGGGGAGAGAATCCTCACCAAACACAATGAGCTACTACGGGAATGGATGATGAAAGATTTTAAGAAAAATATAACTTTAAATTCTTATAGTTTACTTGAGTTTTATTATAAGTTTTTGTATTTTTTTATATATTTTAAATTTTTATATTTTTATTAAGTCTTTAAAGTATTATTCATGGAGAAACTTAAAATATTCAAAAATAAAAGTATAAAAATTTAAAATATTAAAAAAAGTGTAAGAATTTATGATAAAATTCAAGTAGATGTAGGAATATAAAGTTCTACTTTCCCAATATTCTAATACATGGTCTTGCTTCTCCAGCTTGACCGCTTCAGCATCTTCATTGGTGTTACTTTTTCTTGCGTCCCAGAAGTCAGCACCTGCATGAGGGGTTTTTTAGCCACTTTAGCCTTCCTAAAACATTGTACTGTAATTGCCCGATCGAAGGTTTGAGGATGAGTTATTAGACCTTTTAAACAAAAGGAATTTATAGGGCAAATGGCGATAATTATAGGGACTGACTCACGTTTTTTAAGTACAAGGACTTGCGTCGAAACTGTAAATTATAGTGACTCGTTAAATAATTTCTCCTATATTTAATAACCCAATTTCGGGGTCACAATATAATTATTGGCGTTAATTATTTGTAAAATTGGCCCATAACATTGTGACCATGCCTTCATGGCCCAAACTTTTGTGGGTTATAGCTTATCCAAAATACAAATTGGTAACATTTTTACAAGAAACAGTTTTCCAGTGTTTCAAAACTCAAAGTATTCTATTTGATAAGAGTTTAATTAGATATATTCATTAACATGTGATTAATTAGATAGGTTCATTAATATATTTTTTTTGTCCAACACAGGTTGACAGTGGTCAAAGGTTTGAATGAAGTCAACTCACCAATGAACATGGGTTTATTGTAACATGATTTTTTGGACGGTGCATCTCCTTAGTGAAAGTATTTGTGATTTAGGTCAATGAATGAATCCTCTAAGTTGGATGTCCATTGGTAACCTCAACATATTGAAGGTCCATGCTTTGAAAAAGCTGAATTGTGCTCGTCATGAGCACACAAGCATTAACACGTTGCTTATAATTCAAACCAGATGCGGCCATGATTGGCAATGAAGATCTCACAAATTTGTTCAATAATGATTAGATATGATTATTCTTCTTTTTCTTTTTACGTGGGTGCCTAATTATATATGGCCTATATATGAATGATATCTACTGTTATTTATTATCACTCATTGTGATTGAAATGTTCAAACTACTCTATAATCTCTATGCATTATCATACACATGGTTGGGCTTAGGGATGTACAAAATTGATGCCCCAGCCAATTATTAATTTTCCACACTCTTCTCTTCAAATAATTAAGCCTACCTTTGAGCAATTTGTGGGCAATTATAACTAATTAATTGTTATACTCCTAACCAACCAACATCAAAGATAAACTCTATATATCAAGCCGCTGCAATTTTTAGTGATGATATGAAACATTATTATCTCAATATACATGGGATGCGTTTATAGCATGATGCTATTCAAAATTAGAGAGAGAGAGGGGGGGTGTGATATCATTTTCTAGCCAACCGCTGACCAATTTTCTCCACCATAGATCTTCCAATCAGAATGCTATGTTACACCTTAATATTTAATTATCATATAACTCTTTATCTAACCCACTGCGTTGCACCTACATTTGGTTTAATGCATAATTTTTTTTTTGAAAAAAAAAACACTTCTATTTAAAGATCAAAAATTAACTTTCGCACTGTTATGATAATAATTGGCCTCAAAATAAGAAATACAATGGACTTGGCTGAAAAAAAAACATTTGATATAAATTGAACGAATACATAATTTAAACATCCCTCAAAAATATAATTTATTTTGAAAGTTATTAATTTAACTCATCCATTGGATATATTACTTGAAATGTTCTCTTTACTCTGTGTGTGCGCGAGCACGCGCAAAAGAAATGTTATCTTTTTTCCTTCGTTCAACAAAATACTTTATCTAAAATTAATGTAGCGCCCTCAAAATAGAAAGAGAACGATACGAGACATAAAAGTATATATCTTTCTTTTTTATTTTTATTATTTTCCACATTTTCTTTTAGAAACACTTTCTATATTCTTCACGATTTGAATTTAACGAATAAAAAAAGAAGAAAAGGAAGAAGAGGAAGGAGGAATGAAGGAACCCCGCCAAACAGATTCTTTTATTGCACAAAGAGGAATACACGAACTTCTTCACTTGTACAATGACTGATGAATGCTTATCAACAATCACTTGAAATAATTAAGTAAATAAATAAATTTTATGATATAAATATTAAATACAATCACCCGGTATAACCTGTGAGAACCTCACTCCCCATTGAGAAGAACCAAACAGTATCTTGAACTACTGCAGATGATACCCTTCTTGTTCTAAGACTGTGACCCCATTTTTTTCCCTTTCTCCAAGCAAAGTATTTTACAAACTTATTACTTTCACTTTTGTAAAAGACCAAAAAGAAATTTTATAGATCTACAGTCCCCATCGGTTCTGATTCAGAACTGCGTGTTGCAGAGCAACTTGAGGTACTGTAGTAAAACCTTTCACTGTTCACAGAACAAGTGGCCAGCTCATTGTATCTTGATCCTGCACTCATAAGAAACAAATAACTTCAGAATCATCATACTTTACTATCAAAGCAAACAGGGGCTTTCCTTCTAACCCAGTTGGTAGGAGGTTGTCATATCTGATAAGCATAACTCACCAAAGAACTTTTTCTTTTTTTAGGCCAAGTTAATGTTCAACATATTCAGAGAGATCTGAGAATAGAATTTGATTTCAGAATAAAGAAAGATATCAATTGGGAATTTCGACCAAAAAAAGTAATGACTTACTTTAAATAAATCTCTTGGCCATTAATTTTTTCTTTCTATTCGGGGAGTCTAGCTATGAAATTACCATAAAATATAAAGTTGTTACTGGAATATTAAATAATCGTGAAAGTGATTTTTACATCACAAACAAGCATAGGATTATACTTAGCTGTGAATGTAATCAAGATCTTTGGTTATCATAATTTTACAAGGAGTGTGTCATAATTTTTTTCATTCAAAATTACAAGTCAAGAGGTTTTATAGTTTTCTCATTCTAGTTTGTACATAAACGGAGTTTTATAATTTTCGTGCTCGAGATCATACAAGATAATTTTCTCAAGCGAATATTTTGGCAAGAGGGATGCACTGAACTATTTAGAAAGTCATTTTATCAAGTCCCTATGGCTTTTGCACTGCAAGCCCACTTATGCAAGGGCGAGGTACCGAAGACATTGCAGTGGAAACATAAAAATAGGTCCAAATGAAAAGTCACGATTGTCCGAGTGTTCGGTTACAAATTAGGTGGGTTTGTTCTGTGAAATTTGAACTAAATCAAGCTCCAATAACACCTACAATTAACATGACCACAAATAACGCAGGATTTTAATTTATACTTAAGACTACCTCATCCTAAAACATCATGCAATTTATGCAAGTCATACAGCCCAGACCAGAGAGAATGACAGTAAAAGGTTCTAACAAATTTATTTAATGATAGTTTAGTTTTCAATAAAAATTTTTAAAAACAAACAATTGCAAATTCGGATTGTAGATAAGATATTTGCGATTAAATGTAACTCGTGTTAGACCTCATTTTTAAAAAAAAAAAAAAATTCTCAGAGGGTTAGCTGTCATTAAAATGATCTTCTAAGACTTAAAATGTCATTCTCCAGACAAACTACATGTGTTCTGCTCCAAGATTAAGTTGTAACTAGGAAATTTTGCACAGGGAATTGATTTTTCAAACAAAGCGGAGTCAAATACAGGTATCTCATTACTCCAAACTCCATGAAAATTTGATTTATTGACATTCTCATTCGTAGTTACCAACTTACAGTTTCTTTGTTTACAGGCAAATACGATCTACTTACAAGCACATATACTTTTATCTTTGTAAAGATTTCAATTTATAAAATGGTTCTGAATCCCGATAAACCAATGCAGAAAGAATTCAAAAGAGGATAAAACTTAAGCAGAATTTAGAATGAAGTTTACCATTTGAGCAAGGTGATGGTGCATTTGGGCATCGCTCCACCTTCAAGTTTTTTCAATGTCACTTCTCCACACACCACTGTGATCTCCACACTTCCTATCTTCAAGCTCTGCACACCCACCCCTACTCTGGTTCGAACCTCCACACTGGGCACGAACTCTCTGCTTCGAAACTTCCCCCTGAGATTCTTACCCTCATTATCCTCCAAAATCTGATCATTCACGCTCGTCTCCGCCTTCAGAAGCGTCACCTCCTTCTCCTTAATCAAGAAACCCGGAATCGTCTTCCCCCCCAGATTCACATTCCCATTGTCTGTCGAAATTCCGAACCTTGCCTCACCGAAATACCACTGAATTTTGCTGTTTGGGTTCTTGACTTCCAACCTCGTCACCGTGCTGGCGTCAAGGTACGCGCCATCGGGCTTCTCGGTGACGTTCAACCTGGGAATTCGGAATGATTGGAGGTGGAAAACCGGCGCTTGCGGGTCGTACACGATGTAGATAAGCGAGGCAGCAACGATGAGGGCGACGGTGAGAACGATGATGCAGGCGCAGAAGACGCAGCAGCACTTCCGGCAACAGCGTCGGCGGCGCTGCTTCCTGGACCGGAGGGAGAGTGGGAGAACGGGCTTTCGAGCTAACGGAGGTCTCGGTTTTGGTTGGTGCGGATTGTTCGGGTCTTTGTAACCTGGTGGTTTCTGAAGCACGGGTTTTGATGGCGGCGAAGCCATTAGGTCTGTTAAGACTGTGGATTATCGAGAAAACAAATAAGCAAAGTCAATACCAATTCAGAAAGTGGAAGTGACAGTTACGAGAATAAAGCAAAGTACATTCTGACAGGAATGAATGGTGATGGAGCAAAAATCACAATTCTGGGTTGAAAAGACGGCAGAGTTAAGGAGAATCGAAAGAAAGAGCGATAGTTTGAGATTGTGAATGAAGAATGGAATTGGAGAATGCGAAAATGGAAGAATGAGGAAGAGGTAGATCTGAATCTGGGACGATAAGGGGAAGACGATGCTGAGTCGGGTCACGAGAGGAGGAGGAAGAAGACAAAGGAAATGAGAGAGAGAGAGAGAGAGAGTAGAGAATGTTTGCGTATGGAAGGGTCCTGAGGATCATGAGGATGCAGGTTATCTACTGCCACCTCCACGCGCATGGCGGGAAGCGTTTCAGAACGCAACGCATTTGGCAGGCTCATACACTGTGATTTCTCCTTTGATTTTTTTTTTTTTAAACTAACAATTTCACAAAAATAAAAAACCTATCAATGAATTTTCTTTTTCAAACAAAATAAATGTAAATAATTTTTATGGAGATACATGTCATTCTATTAAAATCAATTTTATTTCACACGTTGGATATGAACACTTTTTTTAATAAGAATTCAAACTTATATATATATATATATAAACTAACACTTATCACTCATTGATGGTGTCGTGATCCGTAAGGTATTTTGGTAAATATGCATAAAAATTAATTATATCTAAAAACATTGGGTGCAAAATAATTTGTATAATTGGTAGGACTTTGGAATAATTCTCCCAAATTTTTAAGGGCAACCATATAAGAAATAATTATTAGATAAAAAATAAAATATATTTAAATCATCCAACTTTAAAATTAGATTTAAATTTGGATAAAATAAAAGATAAGACTTACATACCTAATCTTATATACTTAATATATTTATATTTAATTAAATTATAACAAGTGAATTTTAATGTATTAATAATTTTAGGGTTAATGAGAAAGTAAGACTCTCGACTATTGTTTGAAAATTATTTTGGACCCTAAACTTTTAAAATATGTAAAATAAATCTAAACTTTTAAATTCATAATAAAATAAACCCTGACCGTTAATTTTTTAATATCGTTACTGTTTTCATAGGTACTGTTTAGGGTTTATTTTCCTACTAATTTAATTCTGACTGTTACAATATCCGTGTGAACAGTAACATCGTTAAAAAAAGTAACGGTCAAGTTTATTTTACTATAAATTTAAAAATTTATGATTTATTTTATATATTTTAAGAGTTTAGAATTTAGGGTGATTTTTCAGCAATAATCCAGAGTCTTATTTGCACATTAACCCATAATATTAATAAACTTATTATAGAATAAATAATTTATAAAATATTTATATGTCTTGATTTAATTAGGTACAAACACACTAAATATATAAAGTTAAGCATATAAGTTTTTTTATATTTTTTTTATTGCTTATAAGTATATTTCTATTGAAAACAATTATGTTTAAGGTATAACCCTTATTACAGAAATGAAATTTAGTACCGTGCATCATGTAGCAATACAAAATGAAACACCGCTAATATTAAAGTTAAAGTAGAAAGATGTTGTTCCTTATTTTAAATGTCATTGTTTATAAATTATTTTTTTATTTATAATTTTAATAAATAATAAGAGATAGCATTTTAAGAGTGACGAAACGCCATCTCTCATATTTTTTATTAAATTAATATTTTATTCATAATTAAAAGTAAAGAGGTGATTTTTAATTAAAAATGCTACTTCTTTACTCTGTTAATAATTTAACATTTTATTTTATAAGATTAAATAATTATTTTATTATAACATATTTAATTATTAATTTTAAGTAGTATATATATTATTTAATAAAAAATGAAAAGAGGTGACGATTCCAATGAAAATGCCAACTCTTTTCCTTTTTTATTATTTAATTATTTTATTATAAAATAAAATATTATTTTACTATAATTTATTTAATTAATATTAATTATTAATATATATTATTATTTAACAATTAAAAACTAGGGAGGAGGCATTTTCTGTGCTTGAAAATGTCACTTCTCTACCCTGTTATTTATTTATTATTTTATTTTATTAAATTAAATAATTATTTATTATAATTTATTTACTAAATCATTTTAATTAATATATTATATTAGTTTATAATAAAATTGGAGAAGCGAAATTTTTTGAATTTGAAAATGTCATGTCTATAATTTTTTATTGATTTAAAAAAATTCTTTATCATATTAAATAGCTATTTTTTTACAATTTATTTATTTAGTATTTATAATTAATATATAATAATATTTAAAAAATAATTGAAAAGAGATGGTGTTTTCAAACTTGAAAATATCAATCCACTTCTTTTTCATTATTTTATTATTTGTATAAGATAAAATATTATTTTTTATAATTTATTAAATTAATATTAATTGTTATTATATATTATTATCTAATAATTAAAAATAAAGATGTGACTTTTTTTAAGCTTGAAAATGTCACCAATCTACACTCTTATTGATTTATTATTTTATTTTATCAAATTAAATAATTATTTTATTATAATTTATTTGATTAATAATTTATAATTATAAATACTACATAAATAAATTATGTTAAAATAATTATGTAATATGGTAAAATAAAATTCTAAGTCAATAAGAGAGTATAGAGGTGACATTTTTAAACCCAGCAAAAGCTACCTCTCTAATTTTATTTATTAAATAATATGATATATTAACTAAAGTTATTAATTAAATAAATTATAAATAATTAATAATTTTATAATTTGTAATTTATAATTCATGAATAATAATAATTATTATATATAATTTATTTACTTAATAATTTTAGTTAGTATTTCATATTATTTAATAAATAAAATTAGAGAGGAGGCTTTTGTTGGGCTTAAAAATGTCATCTCTATACTCTCTTATTGATTTAAAATTTTATTTTACCATATTACATAATTATTTTAATATAATTTATTTATGTAATATTTATAATTAATATATAATAATATTTAAAAAAATAATTGAAGAGAGGTGGCATTTTCAAACTTGAAAACAACTCTCTTCCTTTTTCATTATTTAATTACTTTATTATAAGATAAAATATTATTTTATCATAATTTATTTAATTAATATATATTATTATCTAATAATTAAGAAGTAGATAGGTGGTATTTTATGAGCTTGCAAATACCACCTCTTGCCCTATTATTAATTTATTATTTTATTTTATCATATTAATATATAATTTTAATTAATACATCATACTATTTAATAAATAAAATTAAAGATACAGTTTTTGTTAAGCTTAAAAATACCACCTCTATACTTTCTTATTGATTTAAATTTTATGTTATCATATTAAATAATTATTATACTATAATTTATTTATGTTGTATGGATAATATAGTTTTTAAATATATAGTTATTAAATTTAATTTATTAAATATAAAATAATAAAAAATTATTTAAATGAGAGAGAAACACCACCTATTTTTTATAAATTAAACTCTTTTTAAATTAATTTTTTTAAAAAATATATATATACATAAAATAAGGTTTGTCAAAAATTAAATATAAAAATATTACTTAAATGAGAGAGGTAGCATTTTCAGGTAATAGAAACGCCACCTTTATCATATATATTAAATTTTTATTCTTTAATATTATTTTTAAAATATATATTTATTAAATTTTATTTATTAAATATGAAATAATAAAAATATTTAAATTGTAGATATCTTTTTTATAGATTGAAATATTTTTTAATTAATATTATTTTTAAAATATATAATTATTAAATATTATTTTTTTAATAATAAATATTACAAAATTATTTAACTGAGGGAGGTAACATTTTTAGATGATGGAAATGCCACCTCACACTTCAAAATTATTTTTTATTAATTAGTTTAATTTTTAAAAAAATTAGAGAGATGGCTGTTGTGAGTTTTAATTATTTTTAAAATTTAGAGATAGTTTTTAACTCTTATTAGAATTTTTAAATCATAATTTTTTTCATCTTAATTATTTTTTTGTCTAGTCGTTCACTCTTCTGTCTTGCAATTCACAAATTATCTATTCTCTAATTATTGAAGATGCTCTCGTCGTCTTCTCTAACTAAGATTGCTTGTATGAGTATCCTAATAACATGTTCTTTTTTCATTTTTATTACCTCTTATCTACCTATCCATATATATATGGATCTTTATAATTTTGCCGTTGTTTATCTTCAGTTGACAATTTTTTTTTCCATTATTGGAGGATTTGTTCTTTTAATTTGCTAATAGGCATATATGTTGGCACAATAATTCTTTGGATATAAATCTTTATTCAGATCTAGGGAACAAATAATAAGATCTTCAATCTTTGTGGTTTCAATGATAAGCGGTTTGGTTTTCTCAAGTTTTAAATTTTTAAGAAGGTAATGATAATAATCTTTGTTAATCATTAAGAAAGAAACTTGTTAAACATTAATCATAATTTTTTTCAATTTTATTGTTTATTTATTTTTGTTGTAAGTATTATTTTTTACAATTATATTGCAAAAATTACTGATAAAACTTATTATATCTCTTAATTAATATTTAATTTTTATTTTATTATCTTTAATTTTTTATAACTTTGGTAAATTTATCATAGATTATATGGCATGAAATTGATTGATTATTTTTGTTAATTATATGAATAAATTTATTGCATAAATTAACTGTGTATTTAATAAAAAATTATGTATATGAATTGATAGACACACACACACATAGAGAGATATTAAAAGTGATATTTTTTAATTTTTTAAATAATAAAAGGAGACAGATGGCATTTTCTGATGCAGGAAATGCCATTTATCTCCTTTTATTTTTTTGAAAAAATTAAGTAAACACTATTTCTCTTTTGTTTTTAATTTTTTAAGAGAGGTGGAGTTTCTTACCAAAAATGCCACCTCTCTTCTCTTTTGTTTTTTTTAAAGTAAGTAAAAATATGGCATTTCTATGAGAGAACGTCATTACTGTTGTTAGCTTTTTATAGTGTTTTATTAATTAAAATACTATTTAAAATTTAAAATAGCATTGAATTTTATAATGTCTTATAAACGTTACAAAAGTGGATACCTCTCCTAATGGGATTCAAACCTCCTCTTCTATCTTTATTATATGACCATTTCCATTATTCTGATTTTTTTTATAAAATGTATTAAAGTTTTTGACTCAATTAATTTTTTTTAATCAAGTGCATTCAAAGCTAATTTTTTGTAGTATATAAGTTAGGCATTAGTTTTATATCCATTTTGTTAGACAAGGCCACTAACTCAATTAATATTTTTTAATTAAGAGTATTCAAACCTAATTTTTTCAGTATAGAAGTTAGGCATTAATTTTTTATCCATTTTGTTAACACAAGTCCACCAAAAATCATACAAGAAAATAAACCATTTCGTATCAGAAATAAAAAAAAAAGGATATGTATCCAAGCACTTTGTTGTGTCAAGGTTATTATCAGTAGCATGGCAAGACATAATTATTTGCCTATTTAAACATGTGATGAATGTGATTATTTAATTTTTTATGACAAAGTTTTTGCCGTTGACTTTAACAAACTTATCTAGCAAAGATAGTTGCCAGAGAAGTTATGTTAAATGAATAATATAGCTTCTAGTGAATTTGAGAAGATGTTAACTTCGGCAAAATTATCAAGCTTCAAGAATTCTTGAAAGTTTTGTAACAATGAATAGACGGCAATCAAGATATTTTAAAAAAAAAAATTCTAACCTAATTATCTTGATCATTACAAATGATGTCATCATAAGGAGTGACACCATTAGCACTTATCAACCCATCAATTTCAAGTCTAACTCAACTCACTTTTGAAGGGAATCATTTCACTTGTGAACTATCGCTTCTAGATGAAAGTCGTTGAATTTTGATTGGAGTATTACATGTTATGTGAACGTGTGTGAGGTGTCTCTGCCAAGACAATGTTTGTTTTTTGGGGTACTCTGCTACTAGTATTAGACTTTGCGTTTTATAATATCCAGGTCTGTACAAGGAAAGAAAAGAAAGTAGTCCGGTCTAAAAAGGAGAGTGGGAGGGTGGGGAGAGACGAGCGAGAGAGATATAGTCTACGAAGTAATATTGACACCAAAATGCAATAAGAGAGGAGAGGAAAATGCCGTCTTAATTTAGGAGTTATTGATATATATATATCTAGAAATTCTAACTAAATTAACCATGGTTTAACAGAGTTTAGGAGGTTAAATAATCACGTGTAAAAAATTGTCCTGGTTACAAAATATGATTGGAAACTGGACAACATGGATATGAAGCTAATTTTCTTTTTTGGCATCAAGTACACGAATTTTGTTCGTTTTATACATTATTAACATGATGAAGGTCATGTACATTTATGAACTAAGCGGGTAACTGGTACAAAACCAAACGTTAATGCGTGCTCCAGTGGACAATTGAATGGAAGCCCCAAGTTTCCTTTCATGTTTTACTGGAATAGTGCGATAGAATGAAAGTTTTAATTCTATAATTTTAGGAACCAGATACCAGATAAGTTATAAAAAAAATATTTTTTTATAAAAAAATAAAAAAATCTTAAATACTTTTAGAGCACACTTGATATACAAAATGAAAAATTTAAATTATAATAAAATATAATTTAATGTAATATAATGTATTGAAAAAAAACTGAAAATATTCTTCTAAGTGGATAATTCCATGGTATTGAAAACCGGACCGGACCGGCCGGGTCAACCCGAAAACCTATGAACTGGTCCCCTGTTCGGTCTGGGTTTGCTCTTAACCTGGTGAGGGAGTAAACCGGTGTAACCCGGTCAACCCGGGTTCAACCCGGTATAACTCGGATAACCCGGTGGGTTGACTGGGTTAACCGAGTTAATATTTTTTCAGACTTTTACCTCAAAATGATGTCGTTTTTGATTTTTTTTTTCATTTTTAATTTTTCGGAGCTCTGAGTTCGAAAAAAAGATAACAAAAAAAAGTAAAATTGAAGTCAAAAAATGAAAAATTAGAGATAGAGCATGCTAAGTCCAAAAATATAGTATTTTATTATTGTTAGACTTTTGAGTGGTTGGATTTGGTTGAATATTTTTATAATTAATGTCTTTTTATTTAAATTGTATTATTTTAATCATGATCGATTTGCCACCGGTTCAACCCCGATTGAACCACTAACTCGTGACCCAGTGCCATAATCGGTTTAATGACCGGTTTGATTTTACGTAGCTTGGATAATTCACATTATCCTATCCATGTGGGGGCTTGAGCCCACACCACAGCCACATCCTTCCTCTCTTCTTTTCTTTTCCTCCTTTTTTATTTTCCTTTTTTTTTAGTGATTTCTAGTATGAGGACAACATTAAAATATTATTGTGATTATATAATGTTATTTTAATTAAACAAACACGAGATGTTAAAGTTTTTTTATGCAATATCCTCGATAAATAAAAAAAATCTTGCCATTGCACGCATAGAAAGATATATCTCAAACTAGTTTACATTAATGTCATTTACAATATAAGATACAAAGAGATTCGATTATAAAAAAGTTCCCAAATTATTAGATAATCTTAATTTTAAGGCACAAGGATAATAAAATCCTTCCCAAATATCAAATGACAAATAAGTATGAATGTGAAGTGACATATTTGCCCTCCCTCAAGTCTCTTTCTATTTGTCTCCTTCATTGTGATTCACCCCATCGCATTGTCCATCGGCATCACCTGTGATTGTGAGAGCATCGAAAGGTGGTTCCTTGATGACAATTTCACTTGCTTTGTTACCAATTAGGTTCTTGCATATAATGATTTAGGACTGGTGTGTTGAGAATCGACAGTACAAAAAAGTTGAGAGGATCCTCACCCCCAAAATCCCATTTTCACAATAGAAGTCACAGAGCTTCTTCTTCATGTGATATCGTGTACGATATGTTTGGATCGGCAAGGGCGTCTTGAATTGGTCTAGAAAAGGGAGAGATGGGGTTGAAAAGAGTGAGAGGGATAGGAAATGTATAGAAAGGAGCAATGAGTGCTCTAACCTCTACTTTTGACTCTTTCATGAATGATTCCATTGAAGAAAATTTGAGTGTTTTGGAAGAGATTATGTTTACTGTGAATTAGGTGTTCCCACTTCAAATGGAAGCCCACAAATCAATTGAGTCTCAAGCTTTAATACTTTGCATGGTTTGGTTTATGAAGCGTCAAGATCTTGTAGGGGAAAAAAAAAATCCATTGTTACTCTTAGGGAGGAAGAACACTTGAGTGTTTTGGTAGAAATTGAAGGAGTCAATGAACTGTTGGTTGAATTTATCACCAAAACATTAAATCCAACTATCACAAAAAGCTTCATCAGCTTTAATTTTTTTCCTTGGTCTCATCATCTTCCTCCAGCAACAAAGATGAAACAGAAACCAAATGTAGTTTTGTATTTAAGGGAGGACAAATATGTCCTTTCCAAAAACTTAAAATGCCAAGCAAGCCCCTAAAAACTAGAAAATAATTATTATATTTAACGGTACCTATTTTTCATTTGGATGTTTCATAAGTATTTTATTGTTATTCTCTCTAAATTTAATCTGAGGTAAAAAAAAAAGATTTAATATAGAATTGCAACTAAGTATCACAACAATTAGAGTGGCACGTCGGAAGCATGGTGGGCCCATGACCTATGGGTCTCTGGATCAAAATCAGGCTCTGATATGTGTACATTTTATTCCCCGTCCTTGTCCAATCAGGAGACGAACGAAGATAGGTATTTCAAAGGTCTTATTCCTCGCCACCCAGCTTCAAAGTGAGAAGCTTCTCAATCACTGTCCCATCAGCACAAGCATCCGCTTATGCTGCCAATGGTTGTTTTCTTATTCCATGGGTTCCACATGGCTAAGGATATACATGAAATTAATATAAGTGGACAGGACAGTATTAAAGATCACAGTAACACTGATCATAGAATTTCACTAAACAGCCTTAAATTTTTATTTAATACAATACTTAACACTAACAAATTTTTTTGCATCATTTGTAACTGGACAGAAGGGAAGAGCACAATTTCTTCCTTTACTCAGATGATTCAAAAATATATTATACTTGAAAATAATGAGACATGGCAAAAAAGGGGGGAGAGAGAGAGAGAGAATAAAATACATTTAAATTTAAAAATAGTTTTCATATAAATACATATGATATGGCTTCATCTTTTTACATACCGTGGTGCTCCATTCGGTTTTGTTAGATCCGGCGTTCAAGAATGCATCCATCACAAAGTTGTGTTCTGAGGAGCACATTACAAACACTACATTTTACCGCCAAGGAATGCAGTCATTGATATGAGAAGTGCTTGTGAGATTAACGTTAACAGCTAACTTGGAAGAGTGTCTGTGAAGGTTTACTAAAAGCGTTTTCCAGATCACAAGTTTTACTTCATAAGCGTCGTGTTTTGTAAGTCACATTCCAAGAAAATAAAATAGCAAAGTTCCCGCAACATCAGCCTCAAAATAAAAAAGATTTGACACTATTTTTCACTTCAGAGAGGAATCCCCAAAAACTATATTTAACACTAAAACAAAAAGTTTTTCTCCACATTCTGGAATTAAAAACGCATTTTGCACAATTTAGTGTATGTTTGGTTTACCTTCAACTGAGGTTGGGATAGCTCAAACCTCAGTTGAGAGATAAAACGCTCATTGCCTGGTAGAAACACGACCTGTCACACCTAAGTCAACATAAAATGCTAAATATATATACTGACTGACATGAAGCTGAGATAATTCTTTACAGCCATCGAAGATGATGGAACAACATTTGATTCACACAGTAACAGGAAACTTGCTGGCTTTACGGAATTACCCAAGCCATCTTTCTGATGCAATGCATCAACTGGGTGAGAAGTAAAACGGACTGCTTGAAAAGTAGGCATTCCTATGGGGGAAAAAAAATGTAAATGAGACATCTAGTTGCCAATTCCACCAAAACAACACACCTAATTTTGAGCAGAAAGCCAGACATATTTCAGTGTCAACAGAAAAGGGGGTGACCTTAAGAAACGAGAAATAAAAACAGATGACCTTTTGGACAAAAGGAACAATGGATGACATGAATAACTTCGGTTTTCCTATAACTTATAGCAGAACCACTCACATCTAAGGCATCAGTGGAGTGACGCTTAATCTTCTGAAGGATCCTTTTTATGTTGTATGAACCAACCTGCACCGGTTTCATTTACAATAAAAAGGAATTAGCAGAAGTCTACATTATAGAGGTGATATGACAGTAAAAATAAGAAGTGCTGATTAGTTCATTTTCATTAGTCATGGAGACTTAGCATATAAGATGTTAGTAGAGAGAGTTCACTCCTAAGGGCAAAAGTAACAAAAGCCTTAATGTACTTCTTAATGTTCATGCATAAATGAATTTGCACGTTAATTTTAGCAATCTGTAATCACAAACATTGCAAATCTGTTACGCCTTTTTTCGGAAGTATTTTCACCTAACAATACCCATTATCAAATAATCTATCCTACAAAAGTTATAAGAAAATTCCGAAACATATAATTTATTATTTCAAAACAGGCACATCAACATCAGGTTCAAGGTCATGAGCTGTATTGAAGACCGTGTATGTTGGATTAAAATTGCTAGAATTTCATGAGACTTTCATTAGAATTTGACATCATTGAGGAGCATTTAACAGAACAAGGATCATGATTTCAAAACCGACTCAATTCCTAAAAACTCATGCACCATATATGGAAACATACAGCATTTCTTTTTCTTTTGGCGGGAAAACATACAGCATTGTTTATCTTGTATGTAATATCACCAGCTTTCACATGAGCAAGTTGCAAACAATGCATGATCACCGGCTGAAAGATTTCTTCTCCTCCAGCCTTTCGAACAGCACAAACATCACCATTAGCATTCAGTGTGGCAGTCATTCGCCCAGTCATTACAGACTCTTCATGGTGAGTTGGGTCTATCACTTAGAAAGCACCAAGCAAAATCAGATAGAATCTTGTATAATAAATGAGCCTCAACAGATGCATACATAATTGAGGGAAAAAATATTATACCATAATATTCTCATCAATGAATAGCCCAAAGGTCACAGCAATAGGAAGATGATGTATAATCAAAGAAAGTGGCTCCCTAACCTGTCAATTAATGCTCATTAATTCAGTAAGGGGATCATAGAAGGAGCTATAACTGGTAACTATTCGTGAAACATTGGCCTCCTTAGGCCGACGTACTATAATCTATTAGAATCCAACTCCATCAAGTAATGGAGGACAAAAATATATTAGGAAAATATGACATTAATTATTGGTAAGTTAGGAATTACAGGTAAGTATAGCAAATAGGATTTTAAATACGATTATCATAATTGTGATTAAGAATGAATTAGGATTAAAATTAAATATTTTGGTGTGCTATATTTTATTTTATTAAATTTTTAGGAATTTATAAATTAATTGCATATTAGAATCATCATATTTGGTCAATATTTCTCTATTACTTTGCATTTTTTAAATCTATCCTTTGACTCTATTAGAGTCGATAATTTAGGCCAAATCGGACGGGTCAACCAAAACCAGTTCGAAAAATTTAGGGCCAAGCTCAAAAAAAATTATTTTTTATTGTTCGAGTTTATTTGGGCGGCCCAAATAGGCCCAAGGAAATTCAGGCCAAGCTTTATTGGGTTCAGGCTTGGCCCGAATACGTGAATAAAAAAATAAATTTTTAAAAAATATCTAAAATATGATAAATGTTAATTAGTTTTTTAAGTTTTATATCATTTTATATCAAAATACTATATAGTATATATATATATGAGTGTTTTAATATAGTTATTTCTTAAAAAAATAAAAATAGTTATATTTCATATTTTTATTATTTTTAATCAATAAAATATCTCAAAATAATATTTTAAATATATTTTAATATTAGTTTTTATATTTTAAGATTCAATTTTTTTCAAAAAAATTTGAGTCCTATAAATCATTTGCGTACAAAAAAATAATTTTATATTTTTTATAAATTAAGATAATTAATTTTAAATTAAAAATAAAATTTAGGCATATATGAATTCCCAACTCTACTTCTAGATAAACATAATAAATAGAATAATATTCTTGAATAATTACTTGGTTATTGTTCATGTTAGACTTGTTTAAAAATTAAGAGTAAACTAGAGTAAGAATCTCTTATATGTAAGAGCTAAACAATATAAAAAGTTAAAAAATGATTTCAAAAAAATAATATTTACTCATAATTAAATAATTTTTTATATAATACAATGATGGCAATTTTTTTTATATTCATAAAAATAAAAAGTATAATTTACCTAAAAGTTATTAAAAACTTTAAACTAATCAAGATAATAATTTTAAGTTAGTAATCTAACTGTGATTGAATTGAGATCAACTTAATTATACTTAAAATAATAAAATTTAATTAAAATATATAAAATATTTATATATGACTATGATAAGAGTAATATTTAAACAATTAAGATATTAATTTACAAATAAAGAAAACATTCATGAATAAATTATACATAATACAACAAAATAATAACAGAGCTACTTAAGTGCAAAGTTAATAAGTTATTTTTTATTTTATTCTTTTAAAATTAAGATAATATTTTACACTTAATAGAATTATTTGAAAATTAAAATTGATTCAACAAATAAAGAAAAAATACTTTTAAAAAATTTCGAGTATTCGGGTCAGCTCGAATAAGTCCAAAGGTGTTAGGGTCGAGTTTGGCCATATGAGCTTTTTAGAAAGAGTATGATACTTTAAACCTGGTCTGAATTGAGCCCGAACCGCCCGAAGTACTGGCTCTAGTCTCTATATAAGGTATTTACTAGTTAGGCATAAGCATTGTCATTAATAGAGTTCTACTAGCTCTCCCTCCTTTGTTTTACATCTCCCTCCCTCTCTTCTCTTCCACCTTATTTTCTCTCTCTCTCTCATTTTCATTATGCTTGCCACTGATCCTACATCATTAAGCTTTTAGTTTCTACTGTGAATCAGGATGAGATAAAAGCTTGACCAAGTAACATTAAGAGATAATTTAATAAATTATAAGAATCATTACCAAAGAGATTTGTTAAGATTTATACAAAATATACTTCAGAGAGCCAAATCAGATGAGTTTCCAGCTTCATTGGATAAACAACAATGGAACCTAACAAAACCATACTTGAAGTCAGGGATTACTACAAGATAATAAATTAATAATTCACTTCCATGGTGATACTTCTCCATTAACTGGGAATTTTAACAATAATTCGTATCAAAATAACAAAAAAAGGGAAGGTTGTTAAGTTTTCCCACAAGTGAATGTTTATTCTTAAAATAAAGCAACAACTTACTGACCATCCTCTCCTCGTAATATGCATTCAGGCCTCTGAAATGTCAAGAGAGCAGCCAAAGCAGCAATGTTGGCAGCATCAACAAGGTTTCTGTTCCCAACAAAAGAATTGTACATATTTAGCTTAAATATCTCCAAACAGTTGGAACTTGGAAATGAAGTCAGTTGAGCTGATTCAGTTAAACTACTAGCATGTAAAACAAAAAGGGGAGAAAAGAAGCTGATATCATACAAAGAAAATTAAACTATAGCTCACCCTCCATTGTCTAATACATGGATGTCAATTCGGATGGCCCATACCAGCTTCCCAAATGGAACACGCAATGATTCTGTGTCTACAGGTCTGCTTTCCCAGCACATTCACATTGAATCTCCAGATAAATTTGTAAACAATAAGCAGAACAGACAAAGATTTTTAATGTACAGAGAAGCTGAGTTTATTTCTCCACATAAATTTCCACGCCAACAAAAATAAAACAAAACGCCATCTTATTCACTCACAAGACTACCATCTAAAACAAATTAATTAGTCCTTAGAATTTGCAAATGAGACTACACTTGATATTTTGAACCACAAAAGGTGAGAAACTAAGAAAACCAAAATCACCTTAAACCGCGGTCCATAATTCGCCCTAACTCAACTGCAGACTCTCCAGCACGACCTTGCTCATATGAAGGATCCTCTGTGGGAGAGAACTCTGTGTACATTGAAACTGTGCCTTCATTAGGCCGGCATCTGTAAGGCTGAACTAGCAGAGATGTTACAAAAGCCATCACATGGGTGTGCCCTAGTTGCACCTCAGATGAACCATCCTCTCTGCAACAACTCATAAAAACATTTAACAGCATGAAAGGGCGAAAAAAAATACGACCAGTTTTGAACAGAGTAGAGTGTGAAAATGGAACGAAATTTAATTGCCTGCCAAACTTGGTAGTGAGCTTACGGTAGTCGAAGGGACCGCGACCATCCACTCGAAGCTCCAAAAGTAGTAGTGCCGTTTCCATGAACGTCTTTTCATTTATTGTCAAATGCAAAGAATTAGCCAACCTCTGCTCCATTTCACTTTACCCTATAAATCAATATAAAAGAAAAGAATTGAGTTTGAAAAGTAGAAGAGATTAGAAGGGGGAAAACAAAAGAGTGAAAGAATGGTTCTCCAGTGAAGGACATAAAGCTGGAGAAATGAAGTGGCTTTCAGGCTAAGCTCGAGTATAATAAATTAATAATGCAGCGTCCAAAGCTTAGAAAATGCAGGCCACGATGGACATGTCAGAATATTACTATTATTTTATTTTGTGTAATCCTGTAATTTCTGTATATAGCCGCTGCATCTGCCTACACACGTGTCCCGTATCAGAAGGATACCATAATACAATCATATTCATATAGTATAATAACCGGCGCCTCTCTCGCTTGGAGGGAGGACAACTAAAATATGAGCCTAAACTATATATTTAATTTTTTAATTTTATATAAAATTTTATTTTAATTTGTTAACTTTTTAAATTGTCTTTTTAATTTTGTAACCCTAATATTATTAATTTTATCCTAACAAATTTTTATATTAAATTTTTAAATATTGATAAAATATTATTAAATGTTGACATATTAAGTTTGAACTTTTTTAAAATAATAATGATTGACGCAAAAAATAATTATTTAAAACTAATAGTGATAGAATTAAAGGATTAAAAAGATATTTTATAAAATTAAGGAACTAAATTAAAACCTTATGTAAAGTTAAAGGGTTAAAAATATACTTTAGTTAAAATAAAAAATAAATGTTGGACCTGGTGAACCATCTATTTAAATTCATTAATAATTTTAACACTTAGGGGCTAATATATTTAATTAATAAAAATACAAAAACTTGATTAAATCAAAATAAATTACAGGAACTAGATTCAAAATCAATAAAAACTAAAAGGATTTGCATAGCAATTTTTTTAATAATAATAAATGAGTATATAATATATATTTAATAATTAAAAATGAAAATAATATATATTTATAATATATACATTTATTTAAAAAGCAATAAATTTTGTATATTTATTTATAGAATATATATTAATAATAATGTATTAGTTATTTTTACAATCACACGAACACGCACGCAAGAGCGTGAAAGAGAGGGAGGAATTTCTTTTGGCCAGAATGGAAAAGGATTGGGTGGGAGGAAATTAAAAAGACGTAGCGATTTTAGGGGGAGGAGGGATGGAGTAATAGAGTGTCAATCCCTTGCCACCCTATGCTCATTTTTTTCTTTAAAATTCATCTCACACGCAACTTGGCTTGATATATTCCAAATTATGTGTCAAAACATTTTCAAAACTTAGTTTAATATATGTCAATTTTTGGATTTATAATATTTAAATAAATATTTTAAAAAAAAGTATTTGAGTAAATTTTATTTTTTGTTATAGCATCGGGGTAACTTTACCATTAAAAGGATTTAATAATTTAAAATATTAATAATAAATTTTAATATAATTTTAATTTTTATAATTTTATTACTAATATAATAAATGTTATAAATATTAAAGTTTAAAAATATTAAAAATTTTAAAAATTTTAAATATTATAATTTTAATATTTTAAATATTATAAATATTAAAGACTCAAAATATTATTAATTTTTGTAATTTTATTTTTTAAAATATAAAGATTAATATTTAAATAGTTAAGAATTATGAGAAAAAAGTTTAAAAACTAAGTTACACCTAATTAAAACTATAAAAATTAAATTATAATTAATTAAAATTTAAGAATTAAATTTTAACTTATTTAAAATTTTAGTGATAAAATAATTAACTTTAGTTTTAAAACAATTGGGCTTAAGGGCTTAAATTATCAGAAGCCGAGTGTACATGAATCAGTCAGGCGCACATGAGCCAAGCCCGTTTTCCATCTCTGTGACAAGCCTCCCTTCATCTATCAACACGGCCATAGCAGCAGAACCAGTGTAGAGGAAGCAGATCGCGCTTACAAGGTCGAAGACCTGAGAGAGTGAGTTAAGCCAAGGAGGTCGTCTGACTCTGATAGACTGAGAGACTGCGAGCTAATGGAGGGAATGAATGAGATCATCTTCCTGAGGAAATGCGACTGCCTGAAGCGAAGCTCGTGGAGGTGAGGCGCCGGTTAGATTAGAAGAGAATGAAGCTGCGATGGCGAAGGAGGTTAAAGAAGAAGGATCGAAGGGTTCAATGGAGTAATCAAGAACCAAGAAGAGCAGATTTCCGTTGTCTGCTTCGTTGGTAAAGATGGAAGTGAGCGTCGCTGAGCAGACTGCAAGAACGAGTTTTTGATGCCTCAGACGGCGGGGGGCAGAAGGTTAGGGGCTGAATGAATTTTAAACTAGGGACATGGAGGTAATTTTATGTATTATAATTTAAATGTTAAAGTTTATTTTCATTACTCTAACTTTATATAAAATTTTAATTTTATTTTTTAATTTTATAAAATATTTTTTAATATTAATATAATTAATTTTAAATGTTTTTTTATCAATATTTAAAAAAAATTAAATTTAATATATTAACATTTGAAAATAATTTATTAATATTCAAAAGTTTAATGTAAAATTTTGTTATAATGAAATTAATATTGTTAAGATTAAATAATTAAAAATATACTTTATAAAATGAAAGACAAAAAATGAAATATTACATAAAATTTTATTATATATATTTTAGTCTAATTTAAATTATATTATTTTTCTTTACAATCTATATGATTACTTTCAATATTATACTCAAGTAGGGTATCAATTCTATAAGGGTCCTCACAGTATATTTTATGTTACTAAAATTAGTGTCCATACCAAAACAAGATGATACAATTATTTTTAATTCTTCAAATGTCATCTCCTCTCTTATTATTTTTATCCTTACATTCCTCCCATCATATTATAGTTTACTTTTAATATTTCTTACAAATTATCACCCTACATAAAAATAATAAAAAAGTTCTTTTTCAAAAGTAAAAGCCATTTCTCAAGCCACTTTGCAATAATAAAATCACCATTCATCAACATATCTATTTCCCAAATAATATAATTACATATTTGTTATATTTTATCAAAGAACAATTATTATTTTTATATTCACAAGTTTAATTTTTGTACTTAGAATATAATTGAAAGTGATATCATTTATCATTTACTTATGCTCTCATTCAGCAATACTTAAGCAATTTAGCCCTACCCACAAGAATCAATATATAGCCATGGGATTCAATATATAGTAATGTGATTCAGTGTATACCAAACATTTATGATTATGACAAAGAAAAATAAAGACCTCGATCATTTATGATTAGGAATATAAAGCTCAACTTTTACAAATGAGAAAATCAAAATAAGAGCAAAAGAAATTTACCCAAATGCAAGCTAATAGAAGAAGATTTTAGTTAAATGGCAGCTTATATCTTTGTTTTTTTTTTTTTAAGTTTTAAAGCTGAAAAAAAACTTGCATGAGAGGCGAAGACAAATAAAAAAAGATAATGATGATGATGCAGAGAATGCGTGCAAATATATTTTGAGCCTTGAGACATTTATTTTTTATAAAGTAAAATGATTTTTTATTTTAAAATTTATTGATGATAAAATTTTTTTTAAGAATTTGAGAGAAATTATAACATTTTCTTGTGATTTAAATATTTTAGTGAATTTTATTATAATTTTTTTTAATTTTATACAAGTGATAACTAGGTTTAAAAAATTCACAACTTTACAACGCACCATAAAGCTTGTGATACGTTCCAAGCGAAACCCGAATTGTGGCTTCTTCCACATTGCCTAACACGCTCACTATAATTCACATGCTTATTGTCCCCAATGAACCCTAACAAAAATCGTTATTTGCCAAATTGACATGGCCCTTCCTAACTCCAAAAGCGTCATCCTAGTCCATTTTAACTTCTACTTAAAATTAAGGTAACAACACACCATATGTCCTATAAAAATGCATCATTCACAAAAGATAGACATAAAAAAAAAATTAAAGAACATTTTTACCTCTCAATTATTCACACAAAAGTATTTGGTATTTTAACCTTTTATGTGGTGCAATTATTCACTCTGTGATTAAAAGATTGAAAAATTTCAAAAAAAGACTAAAAAAATTATACAAAATAACTTATAAAATTGTAAATAAGTACCTTATAAAAAAATTAATATTGATTGTCTTTAAAATATGGTTGGTATTATTTTGACCTTTTATGCGGATAAAAAATATTTATATCCTATTATTTATGTATAATTTAAAAGACTTAATTGATAATAAATTTCTTTTAGAATATTTATGTATAATTTTATAAATCTTTTTCTATAATTTTTTAATCATTTCCTTCAATTAAAGTCCACTTAAACGATCAAAATTAATTTTTTTAATGGCAAAGTGTTCAATGTACCATTTTTAAAGTTAAAAAAAAAATTACACCATATAAAAATTTAAGATGCCAAATGTTCCCATATGAAAGTAAATACCTTTTAACTCTTTGAAAAAAAGAAAAAGAAAAGTACAATTGTTGCTCCCTATTTTACTAATGTGTTTTGATATTAGTCCCTATGCTTTTATTTCAATGTTTCAAGTTCCTTAAATTTTATGTACTTACAATGCTAGTCCTTATCATAACTAAGAGTTAAATCTATTGATATATACATAATCATGTTTCATTTTGTTGGCAACTTAATAAAATTATGATGAGTTCAACATTTATTGAACAAAATGACTATTAATTTTTCTGTCTGTCTATCTACTGTTTTCTCTTCCTTCTAAAGCTTCATCTATTACATGTTTAAATATTTTGATTTGCTCTTTTTTGTCTTCCACTCATTTTTTATATAACTTATCATAATTTTAACAAATCAATACAAGAAATAATACAGTTCACAACTGTGAATCACCATAAGTCCTTATAGTCATATTTAAAAACAGAGACTAATATTGCCTACAGAAAAAATTCAAGGATCTTGAAACAATGAAATAAAAGTACAGGAACTAATACTAAAATATGCTAAAAGTATAAGAATTAAAAGTTATATTACCCCATAAAGCAAGCACTTCTCTATTGGCCAGTAAATATACTGCCTTTGCCAAGAAAAAATTGCTATTTCCTACAAGAAGTTGATCGGAAAATGGTAATAACAGGAAAATA